TGGAAGGCTTAAAGAGAATGTACAACATTTGCTCTTGCTGCAATTTTCAGAAATAAATGGAATTGGAGGATTAGTATGTTATAGCAAATATTGTTCAAATTGACTTGCTTCACGTTTTCGGTTCGGAAATGCTGGAAAATCGAAGAAAACCAACCATGTTCTTGTAGTCTGGTTCCCTGAACCCACTTAAGATAAAACGGAGCAATTTATAGACTTTGAGGTGATGTCAGAGAATCAGTCTAGCAGGCTTGTACCCCTTCACAGGTGTGTAATCTGTTTTTTTTTAAAGCCAGTTTTCCCCCAACGCTGGTCGGCCGACCAGCGTTGGAAAAATTCAAGTTTTCTTGAAAATGTCAGCACACCCGGAGCACGATTTTACAGGATGCTTTGGAATGTTATTCCCTTACAATCCAGTAATAGATATTTCGTGATAATTTGATCTTTTTTTTTTTTTTGACGGTATGCCAATGTTGTATCTTCCCTTAAATTGACCCATAAAGCGGTCTTTGAATGGGTCGTAAGTGTTTCTTATAGGCCCGAAACCAATAATAACAAATATATATATACATGTTTGGACATTTCCCTCAATAAAAAAGAAAAACATGCCACCACCAAACATTTTAATCTTCCCGGCCACAACTGTTCACACTTAAATAATTATCATCGCTATTGATCAGATTACTTTCCAGTCTACATCTCTCCGCAGACTCACTGAATCCAACTGGATGAAAAAACACTTTCGAACCAGCTGGACTCAACATCAAACAATAAAGTCCCCACCAGTCCAGCCCCCTTCTTGTACTTCTCACATTCCCACTTGTCCCCCTTTATTCGGACTAAATAGGCGCCTTGTCCCGCACCTGTTCACTAAGTGCTGCCCAGTGTACCTATTATGTTCTATTCCCTATTGTCCCTCTATTACGTCACCAGCTTTTTACCAGAGTGGTGTCCGAACACACGCCAACACGCTTCTCTTACCTGGTAAGATTTCTCCCCTGCTTTTACTAATTATTTGACTTGATTTTGCCGTTCTCATGCTTGATGTGATGTTTTTTTGTTTCATTTACCTGATTACCTTTTGCCCTTAAAGTTTTTCTTATGCTGTCTTTTCGGTTTTTGTTACTCTCGGGTCTGACGAAGGGAAGTAATACTTCTCGAAACGTTACCAATAAATCAACACAGCGATACGCAATGTTCTTGTTAGGGTGTCCTCTTCTTTTTCTACTATATATACATGTATACTAATTCTGAAAACGTAAAGGACTATTATTAGGTGCAGCCTTGATCTTAAGACACGTGTCATTATTCTGTACGTTAATTGACGAAAGACTTGACTACATACCAAATATTTAGATAGCAAGCAAAAAGAAATAATGACCTACCAGCAACCGTTAATTTGGTAATTAAAATTTACTTGAATGACAAAACGAAACAATTTTGGCAACTTTGAAATATGCTGGTACGAGTTCTGATGAACAGTACACTCGAGTTTGTTGATTGCAGACTAAAGCTTCGTATATGGCGGAAATGAGTGATATGGATAATTATGTCCTCACAACTACACGTGGGAATATATGCAGTCACTTGAAATACAAAGTTTGCAATAAACCTATTTGATATTCACAATGAACGAACATGAGACAAATCATTTGTGCACAAACGCATGGGGTTGAGAACCAGTTGAAACTGTCCCTTGATTCCTCCGGATTATAATATTTTTCAGAATTAAATATGTATTCCACGTACTATTTCGAGTTTGACCCGAAAAATAGAGTTCTTTATTAGCAATCTAAAAAATAATCACTTTTGAATGAGGTACCGAACGAAAAAAAATCCACCTACGCTTATAGTTATTGAATTATTTCTTTACAGAGTTTGAATGATTGGCTGCCAGACAATACTTAATTCCGCTCGACAATAATTATAAAAGCCCTTTTCAGAGGGTTAGACTCACAAAATGGGAATAAAGTGGTTTCCTCTCTGAAAAAAATGGAATTGTCGTTAGGAGAAAATAAATGTATTGTTTTTACAGCACGGGATATACATCTTTAAGAGTACTTATTTTTCTTTTACATGTTGTCGCCTTGTGATTTGAAAGAGAATTACAATTTGTTTTTAAAAGGCCTGATAAGAATGAAGACAGTTTGGGAATCCATTTATACCACTTAAAGAACCTGGAAATGGAAGAGCCAACACCGGCCAATTAGAATAGAGATTTCCAGCGCTTTCATCCAATATTGACCAATCACATTCGTTTCTCTGGGCCTTGTCACTGGTATCTTGAAAACAATTCCAATGGTGTTTCTCCTTTTTTTTCTAAAGCTTAAAAACCCTGATTTTATTTTCAAGTTTCACTTCTTATATTCCTTGCATTATTAAGCGAATTGGAAATCAATTAGTTTGGAAAAATACTGACGAAAAAAAGTTCAAAATTTGATTAGTTCACTGCCCCCATAGGTTTGTGTGTATAAAAATCATTGATCATCCTTACCCAGACGGGGCCAGACTACAATGTGAGTTAGGAACAAAAATGTTTATTTATAGAATATGTGACGTCATGCAACCCAATCAGTTTAATCATCTTTTGCATGTTATTTATCTCACAGTATGTCACTTCGATGCTTTTAAACCATTCATTTTTTAAGAGATACATACATGCGGTGCAGAAGAGAACCATTTGCTGAAAGTTGGCATCACGTGACCACAACATCCAATCTTGTAAACAAATGTCACATGATCTATACAACAGATGCAATGCTCCTCCCCTTAAAGGGCAATGAAGTGTGTGTTTTTTTCTGAGCAACACATTTTGTGCAACTTTCTACTCCTCTTACAGCCATATTGCTAACCGCAAAGCGTCGCCGTTGTTAGGCAAAACTAATCCGATTACGTACTTAGACGCTATAACGGAGCAGTGAAATTCATGCACCCCAGAAACATGGCATTTTGAACGTTGTGTTTCTCAGAAAATATGCTCGGTATGATTGAAATGTTACATTCTAACTGAAGAAGAAATTCTAAACTTCATGTCAGTGAAAAAAATCGCCGTCATCGATGCCGAAAAACTCAATACTGGTTACTGTCAAAGCTGTCCTTCAAGTCTGGAAGAAATCGTTCGGAATCTTCCCCAAGTGTATGTATTTATCCCAATTTCTAGGAATTTATCCCAGTTGTTATTTCACGAGTAGTTTGAACACTTATATCATCTCAGTATATTCCAAATTTCAGCTTAATCTGTTGTTGCGAAGGCTAGTGTTACAACGTGAACAATCTCCATGGAAAGTTTCAAACTCATTCAAAGAAAATCAAACAATTATTTGCCGACCCAACCCATGTGCATTGTTCAGCAAAGCGCCGTAGGCGCTACGGCTGACCGATTTCGGCCCAGCACACTAAGTTGACGGGCATATTGGCATATTCATTAGCGTCACTCGGCGTGACATGGCGTGGGTCTTGGTATCGACCAATGGAAGCCGGCAAAAAGGGTGATATTTGTTAATTAACAACTCGTGAAGGAGGCTTTTATCTAATTGTTTACTGCACACAGTAATGGATAGGAACCTCATTAATATTCGTGAGGCTTGAAAAGGTTGATCAATATTGCGCACGCCAGTGTTATAATTTTCAAAATTGTACGTAGTGAGGCTTATTTTTCCGATTTCAAAGAAAAGTAATGAACATATCACAACGACTTTTAGCACATACATTTTACTTGGATCATTATCTGATTATAGGGGAAATATATCCTGAAAGTTGCATGAAGCTACGGTCTTCCAAACTGGAGAAATTCGCAACCATATGGCTTAAATGTATGAAAACTATATGAAATCCCTCCTGGTTAATTTTACTGAAAAGTGTACTTCTTTAAACATTAAAACATCGCACGTGCCCTTAAATCCAGAAAAGCTGTAGTAAATTGGTCTACGCATGAACATTTGCATAGGAACCAATTAAATCCACGTCCCATCATACTTAGATACGAATAAAATGGATTGAAAAGACCGATATCTGGAACGTGCATAATGTATTTCTCTTTTAAACCCTCCATTAAAGGTGGACTTTAAAAATCACAAACATCTGTTCTGGACGTGTACACAATCCGAGCACACATCTATAAGCAGTAGACAACTGCACTGACAAAGTCTGGAGATTCTCTTAATAGATTTTTTTATTGGTATCTCTGATACACAATTTAATTCGTGTGTTGTCAACATTAACATATTAATTCTTCATTAAAGTCCAGTTTGGAAAACAATATTGTGATTGGGATCAATGTTATTATGCAAATATTTATAATTATGCAAATGTATCAATTTTTAAGGCTGTAACGGTTCAATCAGCAAATAGCTTTGGTTTCTGAAAAGGAATTATTTGAAATGGAGCATTCATATATGAACTTTTTCTTGCCTTCCATTAATTTCAAGGCATAAACAAAACAGTAGCAATAAAGTTTTCAATAATTACATGTACTTGCTGACAGCAACAACTGCACAAACTGTCATACACAATGAAAATGGACATGTACCATACACAACAAGGTCCACATGTATAGTTTTGGCGAGACATTGCTGTATCGCCCACACATTTTGCCATTGCAAAATATACAGTATTTTACAGCGTATATTTAGGCCAAAACATAATGTCATTTTCAATTATTTTCTTTATGTTAGGCCAAAAAAAAAAAAATATTCGGTCTCTGGTCAGACCAAAGTTCCGGAATTGACGCGGCCACGCGGCTGTTTTTTTTCTTTCTTCAAGCTTAGATTGTACAGACAAGGTGGGGTACTATTTTGCTTTTTTGGTGTCCTCGTGTACATTGGTGTCCTCCATAATTTGCCTTGGTGCTTTCGATCATTTGCCTTGGTGCAATTTCCCATTCCTTGGTGCTCTTTGGTAAAAAAAATTGAGGAGGTGCGGAAATAGAGGGCGCTGTTGGAGCTACCGTGGGACATTTTGGAAAAAAAAAAGATCGACGCGCGCGCTGACCAAAGACCGACTTATTTTTTTTTTGGCCTTATAGTCGATAATTTGTTTGACAATTGATTCAAGTTATTGTACATATAGGTCCTATTTCAGCCCTAATGCAAATCTGGGCCATTTGGGTCCCTCGTTCCAGAAATACAATCAATTAAGTGAAAGGGTGCACATTTTACTTGGGCCACTCTCACCTGGACATACTGGATCTGGGTTAAGCATTGAATAGGCATTGAAGTTGGTGACATCACAGGTGAGAGTGGCCCAAGTAAAATTTAAATTCACATGTATTTATTTATTTTTGAGTGGGATATACCCCTGCATTTTGCTATTGCAAAAATTAAACCATTTTGAACCATTTTCTAAAGCACCTTTGTCAAGTTTAGTTATTAATATTAAGAATATTATTACAAGTTCGTGTATACATACATGTACACATTTCTTTGCACTTTTCCCAAATTAAAAATAATGAAATAATAAAATCAATCAAAAAAACATTCAAAAGTTAGGACACTCTGATGAACATTAGAAGTCAAAACTGAGGTTATTTTGTAAAATATCTCATAAGTTACTGTACTTTTAAAACATCAAATCTGATTCAAAACCTAAATGAACTTTTGACAATAACCCATCCAATGCTTTAATACTCCTGAAAGAGTCATAAAGGTATTTGTTAAATATCACCCCAAAAAAGAAGAAAAGTCGGTCAGTTCGACTGAAGAAAAAAAATAACACATAAAGCACACAGTCCTTTCAAAATGCTGCTATGCAGCACTTAATGCCGTTTCATAACTTAAAATCAGTTCAACACAAACTGAGTTGAGTCACTACATAAATATATATAACAAAAGCAGTAAAAGAACTACATTATAATAAATAATGATAGGAATAAAGATGCACCTCAAAACTCAGAAATTCCATTAGAACATGGAAAGTACATGTATCGTTGCATCAGTGCAACAAGGTCGTAACTCCATTCTGCAACAAAGTCGTATCTCGCGCGAATACGCTCCGTGCAACAAGGTCGTATCTCGACGTCCACTGACTTTGCGTGTACATCCGGGGTATTTTAAGCGAGATACAACCTTTTGATATTCTGAAACTCGTGTTTCACGTACGGCTCATTTATAGAAGATACGACCTTGTTGCACGGACACGACAGTATCATCTACTGGGCCCAATTTCACAGCGCCGCTTAACAGCCCATTTTTGTGCTTACCAAGCCTCCATCTATTTCTTAAAGACTGTAAGCAGTAAGCAAGGCAAAAGCATGATTAACCTCAGAGTAACAAGTTGCTAAAATCAGTGACCTTACAATAGAAATGTTAGCAAAACCATGCCATGAAATAGTGTTTAAGCAGCAGCATGATTTTCTGCTATAAGCACAACTTTTCTGCTGACTGTTAAGTAGCGCTATGAAATTTGGCCTTACTGTGGCTGGTATTGTGACAGGACTTCTGATTTACTTTTGACCAGACTTGTGATGGACACGACTAATGTGTTGACTCTGGAACCCTGGTTTTCAAATTTATACAAAAAGGGATAACTCTTTACTGTGGGACATTCCCATTGTTTCAAGTTTTGAGACACTCCTTATGCAGTCTTCTTTTACTTTGAAATGAGCGGGCTTGTTACAATCCCTGGCATTGCCTGCCGTGGAACCAGCAAGCAAGCAATGATGTACAACACGCCAAAGATCAAGTTCAACTTGGCAGTCCGCTGGGGGAGTTTGCCCATCTCCCCTCTCCGGAAATCCTTCTCCAGGCTGAAGGCCATGGGCAGGGTGAGAAAGGGCAGGAGATACGCCAGGGAGAAGTTCACCCCCAGGATGGCGAACACGATATAGGGCACGAACATGAGTAAGGTGTATAGAATGTAGGAACCCGTTTTGCCCAGGCACATGGCTATGGTGACGATACCGGCCTTCCGGTCCGATACCATGTCCCTGGTGTTGTTACTGTGCAAAATGGCCTCCGTGTTCATGGCCAGGGGGATGGCGTACAGTAAAGGGAAGAGCTGCAGGGTCCCGCTCTGGGAGGTGTATGCGAACATGACGGTCAGCGGTCCGAAGGTGAACATGATGACCAAATCGCCCAGGGCTAGGTACTTCAGCCCGATCCCGCCAGTGTACAGGAAAGAGCTGGATAAACCACCGAAGTACAACAGCGCAATGTGCTCTAGTCTGGCCGGTGAGAAGAAATACAAGACCGCTAAGGCCAGGCAGCCGATTATGTACAACACCTGGCCGAAGGTTGCGACGTTGTCGGGAGAGAGAATGCCGTCCACCAAAGTCCTATCGTCGCTCTTTTTGCTGTCGATTCCTTTCAAGTAATCGTAGTACGTGTTGACCAGGTTCCCGGCGCCGTGCACCGACAACGTGGCTACCAAAGCTGCCAGGAACACCACAAGGTTTGCCGGGCTCAGGCTGAGCTCAGAGTGGGATTTGAGGGCCAGCGCAGTGCCCAAGATGACAGGGTTGATCGAGGCGCCGAACGACCATGGACGCAGCGCAATCAGGTAGGATCGGACTTGGGTCCTTAGACTGTGCTTGACAACTGTTCGGTCCTCCGGCTCCGGAACTGTTGTTATGCTCATTGCAGAGCCGTTGCTTATGCTCTTGTGATTCTCCATTTCGAAGATCTGAAACAAAATTGAGCAATCAAGTTATATCAAGTTTCATCTAATGTGATAGGCATTAGAGTTGGAGTTACTCAAGGCAGTCAAGCTACTGGCTAAAGACAGTTGAGTTACTGTACAGATGAAATACATGTACAAATTACAATACAATATTTCCAGGATCTACAAACAGGAAAACACACTTTTAATAACAATACACTTCAAAGTTCATAACTCCAACACGACACGTGGAAGTACAAATTGACAAATTAAAAAAGTCATGATCATGCACGTGTACCGATGGTCCTCATTACCTGATCTCAGAAATCTGATGATAATTTCTAGAAAACGGCCAAAGTTTTACTGCTGATTTGCACCACGGTGGCAGCTTAAAATTTACCCAAACGGAAAACTACAAGCATAGGATAAGTGTAAAGAAAATCCAATTTACATCTCACTGATGATGACCACACCATCTGCAACCTGATGTAATCTAAACACGTTATGACAATTTATATATACCGGCTGGGCGGTCTAATAATAATTTCACACGTAATGTGCGGGACTAGCGCTTGTGCTGTTTGCTACGCCCGTCCCATTTTCAGATATTGCCCATTTGAAGTTGGGCAGGCGTTTTGAGGACACCGGCTAGACTGGTTTCCAGGCTAGAGTCGGAAAAGAAATAGAAAATTGCTGCTAATACAAATTACAATTACAAAGATCCCGACGGAGCCTTTGCTCGCCCCCCCCCCCCCCCCCCCCCGCCCTGCAAACAGGACGCTGGGATAATGCTCTGATGAGCTTCACAGAATCTTGTGAAGGAAGTGGCCTGTGACCTATGTATAAAGCACTGGCTGCAACTGTTCAAGACCGCAGTTAGACAATGTGCGCAAATGCTATCCGAAAACTTCCCATAGAATTGCGCACATTCCATACCGGATGTGATTTCTGTTTCATTGCGGACCATGTGGACAAAATTTTGAGCGTCGCATAGTGCAATCCGACCGTTCATGATTCGAAACGGAGCCTGAGCGAGTGACGGGAATTGTAAATTTACAACACAGATATGTTTTCCCAAATGTATGTTTTACAGAATTTCGTACTTTATCACGCTTTTCAACGAGAAAAAAAAATCTCTAAACTGGAATAAAAGAGTAATGAATCAGTCCTTACGGCCGTTTCAAACCTTGCAGAGTCATGACCTTGATGACGCGCAGGTCACTGGTCACGCAAAATCCAACCAATCAGAGCGTGAATTCATCAGAGTATCCCAGCGCCCTGTTTGCAGGGCGGGGGGCACGAGTGAAGACGGAGCCAGCATAGGCAACGACGGTGCTCGGTCAAACCTTGCAATTCATAAATTATAATTTATATACATGTTCACGTGTAGAAAGAGCTACACGTGTAGAAAGAGTATAAAGAGAAAAGTAAAATGTTACAGGATTGTAGGGCGACCTACAATCTTGTAACCTTGATTCAAGTCGCCTGGCGGGGAGGGGGGGGGGGGGTTCTTACCATTTTTAAGGCCATATAGATATGCTTAAAGATGATTTTGCAAAGTTTTGCTTCACGTTTTTAGTCAACAAGGGTCTAATTCGGTAATATTATGGAGAATTCACTCGAGAATCATGATTCAATGCACAAATTCTTTGTATTCAGTCGTTTTACAAGACAGCTTTTGGGAAATATAGCCTTGTTTTCTCTTCATACACGTACGTGTGGTGCCTTGGAACACAATTTATATATCACATCGAGTAGAAAAACAGAGATCACATCAGATGATAAACTTCCCGGCCCGTCTCGAGTGAAAAACTGAGCAGTATTTAATTAAAGGGCAAGCACAAAATTACAATTTATCTACATGTAGCATGAACTCGACAAATTTCACAGAGACGTTGAAAATTGTTGAAAGGGGTATTAATTACGCCCTGAAATGCGGCGCCCAATTGGGCTACAATTAAAACGCATTTTAAACGAAATGATGTTAAAACCTCCATACCAACAGCCGTTCTTTAAAAAGTCGTGTTCGTGTTATTCTTGCCAGAACGAATTTCGTGGTCCAACATTTTGACTCTCAAAATAATGGAGGAATAAAAAAAAAACACAACATAAAAATCTCGGCGACTCGGATTTCAGCATTTTCAGGACGTAATACCTCTTTAAGCCAAAATCCCAAAAGCGATTGCGCCCAACTTTAGATGGGCAGGAATCTCAAATCGGCGAGGTAAACTCGCTCTGCTGATTGCGTAATACATTTTGTATAACTCACTGATCGTCAAAATTCAGTAAATGAATCTTTACTCACGATATAGTCTAGATTATATGTAGATTTCTTATTTGCAATATTTTCTTTTGGAACCCTTTTCTTGAATGCTTATTTTCATGTCGAAACATTAAACCTTAATTATAGTGTTTGAACGAGGTTTTATTAAAGATGGCGACTTCCACGGTCAGAGAGGTTCCGCCGTTTTTGTCATTTGTTTTCTAAAGTTTCCTTGCATTTTAATCGTTAGTTCCGTGAAGCAATGTATCAGAAGCAGTAGTTCAGCTACCCTTTGTAAGAAAAATGTTATTTTTTGTCTGTTAAATTCTGCAAATTACTACTTTATCTTTAAAGTTATCGCTTCTGCTGAGACGGACTGCGAGTGGGCGGGGTCAAAGGTTAAACTGCATGAAACAATAAACACAAACAAGTTTTGCTTTGGTTGCAGGTTTAAAACGTTTATTATCATAGTCTTAGCCCACATGATATTTGGAAAGAACAGTAGTAAGTTAGTTAACATACCTACTGTTGAGTCAAGGCCATATCTCATTTTTCAGATTTGGCTATTTATACTTGCGACCAAAATATCTCCTGATCTCCCTGCCCCCCGCCCCTCCAAATGTTTACAACCACCAATGTGTGATCAGGATACATTCTTTTCTTTTTTGGATTTTTAATGAAATGATTAGTAGGCCTAGCATCTTATTGTCAGATTGTGAAGAACTTTTAGAATCTAAATAAATGGAATGGGTTTTAATTGAAATTTGGAGAAGTTGTATTTTGGGAAGAATTCCATAGTACATTTGGACATCACTAATTTTCCCCTGCATTGACCTATCACCCATCAGAAAGTGATAACATGTCCTAAAAAGTCAAATTTAGCAGGGAAAATATTGAAGAATTTACTGAGAAAACACTTGGAGTTTTTTTTCTTCAGACAAGTCTTATATTGTGCACAGAGTGTATGTCCAGGTATGAAACTGTTACTATTACATGTACTGTATTTTGAAGATTTTGAATTGATTGTTGAAGGTTTTAATGTATTTTAACTGGATTAAAAATAACTCAAAGTCTTACTGTAAGGCACATTTAATCGATTTTACTAATGTGCGATAGAAATATTATTATTAGTATTGGTATTTTCCTCAGTTTAACAGAACTTCCTGATTAAACTTGACCTAGTGACCCAGAAGTGTTGATGTCTAAATTCATTCACTTGGGTCAAATTCAAAATCTGAGCTCATTTCTGATGCTTTCTAACACCTACTGCAGTATTCGCGGAAAGATGATTGACCAGTTTGTCAGCGGCCTGAAAAGCCGCAGTGAGGAGAGGAGGACCAGGACGGCCAAGGCCCTGCAGCACTATGTCACCACCGAGCTACGGGAGGTGTCGCAGGACGAGAGGACCTCGTTCATGGACGAGCTGAATCATCACATCTTTGAGCTGGTGTCCAGTCAGGACGTGAACGAGAAGAAGGGTGGCATCATGGCAATCGGTAAAGCGGGGGGGGGGGGGGGGGGGGGGGGGGGGGGGGGGGGGGGACACAAAATCATACATCTCTCAGGATTTTATTCGTGTATGACCCTAACCCTCTTAGAAACCTTCAAAGTGCGCAAGAGGTTGTGGAGAATTTCAAGAGCGAATCGGTTAGAAAAAAAAAAAAAGCAACATAAGTTTGAGTTGTTTTATCATCATATTTGTCAGACATCCTACAGCACTTAATTTGCCAAAAATAAAACGAGGTTTTAAATCTGCAGGTTCTGGACTGCAAGTAGAAATTGATGGAACATGTACATCCTAAGTTTACTGCAAAGAGCTACACTGTAGTTTAATTTTGGAAAGCTCAGGATATTTTATAGCATGTGCTTGGAAACTAGAGTTGAAGACACTTTTGAAGATGGTTTTAGCCATGCATTCTGAGGCATGGCACCTCCAACGAGAATGGTCAAAATTGAATGCCAGATGATGCAGTGGTATAAACTACAAGCTTTTCAAACAGCCATTTAATATGGACCATGATTATAGTAAAAGATAAGATATGTTTCAAGGTCATTATATTTTCAACAGTATGTTAAATGTATCAATCTCTGAGTAGTACAGAAATGAAAAATACAACAGTAACTACCTGTACCTATTTTAGGGGGCTCCTAGAATAGAAAGTTTCGTGACAGAAATCCTCAGCAGGAAGATAGATATCCATTTAATAATTGTGGGTATGTGTGGTCTAGCGGTGGAGCACAGGATTCATGATCATGAGGTTGTGGGTTCGAACCCCACTCTGGCCATGAGTGTTGCGCCCTTGAGCAAGGCGCTTTACCTCAATTACTCCTCTCAACCCAGGTGATAAATGGGTACGGGCATTATTCAATGCTGGGAAGGTAAACGACTCGCTGTGGAGGAAGTGTGGCGATCCCCCAACACCAGCATATGAGTCTGACCCAATCGCTAATGAAAGAGAGATGGGCACTCCGTTCCTGTTAACACAGGCTCGTCCACTTTACTTTTACCTTTTAATAAGATTTTTTTCAGCAAAATTTAGATGTAACAGGCTTGAACATACGTATTTATCCCCCGACCCCCGGTTGCTTTTCATGTCTCCAGTGAGCCTGATCAGCATTGACAGCGACAACGCCCACCGCATCACCCGCTTTGCCAACTACCTGCGCACCTTGCTGCCGTCCAGCGACGTGGCGGTCATGGAGATGGCCGCTAAAGCCATCGGCCGGCTGGCCATGGCCGGCGGGACCTTCACGCCGGAGTACGTGGAGTTTGAGGTCCGCAGGGCGCTGGAGTGGCTAGGGGGAGACAGGAACGAGGGGCGCAGACACGCTGCCGTGAGTCTACATGCTTATTTGACCCTAACTCCCCAGCCTAGTTTACTAGGAACCATACCCATTCAGGCAAATTCCAACACCCACATGGGAAATTGTACACACACACTGTTGGACTTCTGGAGGTATGCCAACCCCAGTGTAAAAGACCATCAGTTTAGGGGTACTGTACCTATCCCAACAGATTTAAACACTAACCTACTGTTGGAGTTTGATTGGTTATGGTCTGAATTTCTTATATCAAGTTGTCTCGAAAATGTACCTTTCAACAGCTTTCAGGCCTCGGTTTCAGGACCACACCTACTGGCAATTGCAGACATCAGTCTGAAATCAGACTTTGTAATCTGAGAGAAAGACGTTATCAGTATTAAAAAAAATGCATTTTTTTAAAAAACCTTTCATCCAATTTCAGACTCTGTTTTTAAATGGACAATAGCATACATTAGTAACCCTAACCCCTTGGGCTCTTTTACTCGAAAGTATCCTGAATCCACCAAAATCCATCAATTTCGCCATGCGAAAAACTGTTGGTGGACTGTGACTCCATCAGAATCCACCAGTTAGGCGGGAGTAAATCTGTTGAGATCCTGAATCCGCCAAAGTCCCCCAACAGCTCAATATAGAGGTATCCTGAATCCATCAAAATCCTGCAGTTCCGCTACGCTTTTTAATCCTGAATCCATCGAAATCCCCCAGTTTGTGCAATATGGAGGTATCCTGAATCCACCAAAATCCCCCGAAACTGGTGTGTGGATTTTGATGGATTCAGGTACGTTAGAGTTAAACTACTGTTAATAGTGCTGCCAAGAGCTATTGGGTTGTTGTATTTTTTCAATTGTGTTTTTCAGTGTTTTACTCTGAAATCTGACTCTGAACATCATCTGGCAAATCCTGGAAACAAGAAATTGTATCAATTGCTGCCACTTCATGTCCCACATGTTAACGTTCTTTCCATTGTTTGTCTTTTTTTTTAACATTACGGTTACAGCCTTATTTTGTAAGAATGTCAGAGTACAAGCAATTTTATGCCATTAAGATTTTTGCCCATCTAACCCCCTAGGCATTTTGCTGATGCAACCTCAATCTTGCAAAATCCTCCGACCGCCTCAGTGTAAAACTGCATGGAGCCTCAATCCTGCAAAATGCTCCGTTATTTTTTAATGTGGTTCTCGGAGGGGCGACCACTGCCTCAATCCTGCAAAATACTCCAGCAATCACTGTCAACATGTTAAGGAGGATTTCATCTTATGAATACGTTAAGGCATAGCGAGTGACATCCTTGAACAGTACGGAAGATTTCAAGTATAATCTAGGCCTCACTTGATGCATGGCTGAGCATAAATAACACAAGGTCCAGCTCAAGACCATGACACTGCATCCTCCAAAATCAGCCACACATTTTTTTGCCATGTAGCCTCAATCCTGCAAAATCCTTCATTTTGTCAAGAGGATTTGGGAAGGTTAGAGTTAAGGTTGTTCTATTTTTTGTGTGTTTTCCTACCCCACAGGTGCTTGTCTTGCGTGAGCTTGCTGAGAACACCCCGACATTTTTCTTCCAGCAAGTGCAAAGCTTCTTTGACCACATCTTTAATGCGATCAGGGATCCAAAGGTACATGCAAGCCATCATATCAAATTTTGTTACAAAGTAACAATGTTGAAATAAAGAAATTGCCTATGGCACCTGAAGCTCAGCCCAGACGTTACGGGTTTGTGCAGATTTAGACAAAATATTATTCACACAACACTTACGCGAACCAGTACGCACACATGGTGTGTCCCTTTCCACTGGGGCTCATAACAGTATGGAATGTCATGGCCTAGCGGTTAAGAGTACCGGACTCATGTTCTGGTGTTTCAGAGGCAACAGTGGCGTGGGTCCGAGCCCAGGTGGACACTTGTGCTCTTAAGCAAGGCACTTAATCATTATTGCTTCGTCCTTCGGATGGGACGTTAAGCCGTAGGTCCCGTGTGTTGCATAAATGCACGTAAAAGAACCCAGTAACACTTATCACTAAGAGAAGGGGTTTGCCCCGGTGTTTCTGGCCTCCTGTATAAACTCCCACGCGGAGTATTTAGGAGATGAACCAACCAAGAACCAAGAAGTAGTTAAAAAAATGCCGCCTACTGTTTGTGCATGGAATCCATATTGTTTGCTTTGTACAACTTCTAGTTTCTTCATCTTTTCTTGTTCAACCTTTGTTACCTTGACCCTATCCAGCAAGCCATACGGGAGGCAGCCGTAGCCGCTCTAAGGGCTTGCCTGGAACTGACCTCACAACGCGAGACTAAAGAAATGCAGAAGCCACAGTGGTACAAGGTCAGAAGAATTTAACTATATTATCTCACATCTTGAAAAGATTGTATTTCAATAAGCCATTTGCGAGTTAAAGCCAGAGTCCATCATTTGCAGCTATCCCAAAAGTAACTAGCGTAATTATTGTGAAATTATTCTTTCTGGCAAGCTGTCATTTTGAAGATATCAACGAAAGAAGGCCTTGCCAACGGTGCGTCTTAAGAAGCACCGTTGGAGATTTCCGTAAGTAGTTTTTTTTTTTATTCGGCGAAGCGCGCGCAAGCGTTGACACAACGCACACGCGTGCGCAGTTGCTATCAGATCGTCAGATCGGTGCGCAACATCGCGTAGATGCAATCGGCTCAGTGAAAAAGTGTCTCGGACACTGAATTCAGGCTCAATTCAAAACACGATTCAGCAATTTTGATTTGAAATCGAGATCCTAAAATATTGTTTTTCTCGAAATACACAATGTACAGCTGAAGCTGAGCTGAAACTTCATCAGGTTAGTTGTTCAGCACCCTTCTTTAGATTTTGAGCACTTTTGTTGCTTCAAACAAACAAAATGCACAAATTACAAATGATGGACTATACCGTTAAATTTGAATAAAATCTGGAACGCTGACTTAATCCAATGCTTTGCGCGTTTTACCTTTGCATTCTCCTGACCAAAGAGACTGTTACTATATCACGTGATTCAGGGCAAGCCTTATGCTAGCAACCCCCAGCTCTGGCATGGTCTGGTGTCTTTGTGCCATTCTCACCCATTGTGAGCAATGTATTGGTGCTGAGCGTCTCTTAAGTACGTAACTACGCAAGAGCTTGCCCCGAATCATGTGATTACCGACAGTGTCTTTGGTCTGGAGAATTCAAAGTTAAAATGTGCCAAGCATTCTGAGCAAGTCAGTGTACCAGATGTTTTTCAAATGTAAATCCCGAAGGGTATAGGTTACTCGCAAATGGCTTATTCCTCAAGGAGGGACACACTAAATGAACCGTGAAAGTTTGTGAAAAAATCGTATGGCCATTAACCCTCCTGCTATTTAAACAGTCACAGACAGTCAAAATCTACTTCCACTTCCCCAGCTATACTTTTAACAAAGGCTAGTCACCAGCAGTCAGATCATATGTCAAGCAAGCGCTGTGTCTAGTCAAACTGGATCAACAGACAAAGCAGGCAGGTTGTGGTCACAGCTGTTTTATCACTCACCCAGAGTCAAAGCATAGCTGTATCAAGTTACTTAAACAGTCCCAGCCAGTCAATCCTGCTTTTTGTAAGCTGGGGATTCTTAACTGTTGAAAACAGTCACTTGTTAAATTTTGACTGAAAGGACTACTTGGCACAGTATGTATGTTTGCATAGGAGGGTTAATATTTTTGAAGGATTAAAAACGAATGTAGCACTTTAATGACTAACTAAAGAAAAGTTTGTGCATAAGCTTTCGTAGCAACAACTACTTCATCAGATGCAATGAAGAAAACAACTTCAACCAATTATCTGACTAATACGGCTACCCACCACCATTTTTGAAGGATGTGCAATGATATAGAGAAAAGATCCAAAACTCCTAGTCTGTAATCTCCTTGACCATTACTAGATGATGAATGTGTTATTATTTGAAAAAACACACTTTCAGGTTTTTTTTTCACTGAACTCTTAAAACTCTGTCACGGACAGGACGAAACCCTGGAATTGCCCTCCAGCAGGAAATGGACAGAAATACTGATAAATGCTCCGAGATTGGAAAAATCTCCCTCAGCTTTTGAAGTGGACCTGTTGATCTAAAAAAAAATTAAAAATTAATGTTCCCAGACCACTCAAAATTTCTATGACGTTTTGGAAGCTTAAAGGTATAATTGATGTTGTCATCATTTAATTATTTAGCAAACCTACTTAGAAGCAGAGAAAGGTTTTGAGGAGGTGACGTCCAAAGAGAAGGGCCTGAATCGCGACGACCGTGTCCACGGTTCGCTGCTCATCATCAATGAACTCATCCGGAACAGCAGCATGGAGGGAGAGGTGAGTGGTCGCCCCCCCCCCCACCCCCAAAATAAAAAATAAAAGAAGTTTCATTTACTTTTACACACAGGGAAAGCATTGCAGCAAGGATAATCAGGTTTTAGGGACGAAACCTTAGACCTATAAAACTGTCTCGGGTATTTGGGTGAGAGACCTGGCAAAATTGCAAACAACAGTTGTCAACAATGTTGTAGTACTCCACTATATTTCCATGAGTATGAGTACTTTGCCATGAGTATGAGTCCGAGTACTTTGCCATGGGTATGAGTACTGTCCATGAATATGAGTATGAGTACTTTGCCACGAGTGTGAGTATAAGTACTTTGCCATGAGTTTGAGTCTGAGTACTTTGCCATTAGTATGAGTACGAGTACTTCCCATTAGTATGAGCACGAGTATTGCTACGAGTGTGAGTGCTTGGCCATGAGTATGCTTACGCGATTTTGCCACCAGTACGAGTACTGTGCCACGAGTATGAGTACGAGACTTTGCCACGAGTACAAGTACTTTGCCACCAGTATGAGTATTTTTCAATGAGTATGAGTACGAGTACTTTTCATGAGTATAAGTATGAGTACTTTCCATGAGTATGAGCACATTTATTGCTCCGAGTGTAAGTATGAGTACTTTACAATGAGTATGAGTACAAGATTTTGCCTTGAGTACGAGTATTTTGCCTTGAGTACGAGTATTTTGCCACGAGTACGAGTACAAGCACTTTGCCACGAGTATAAGTACTTTGCCACGTGTACGAGTATGAGTTCTTTTCATGAGTATGAGTACGAGTACTTTTCATGAGTATGAGTACGAGTACTTTTCATGAGTATGAGTACGAGTACTTTTCTTGAGTATGAGTACGAGTACTTTCCGTGAGTACAAGCACGTCAGTGGGTACACATGTCCTGGAGTGTGTTTTGCTGTCAAACCAGACATGAGACAAATGAAAAAGCTACCAAAACAGTGAAAAATTAGTCCTTTTCCTGTGTGCTCCGCTGTAAGAAACTTTCCAGTAAAAGAATATTTCCATGAGTCCAAGTACAAGTACTTTGCTGTGAGCATGAGTGCCAAGTGCGTATTGTTGTATGCCAGTCAAATGACAAAATCTAGAAACATGGTGAAAACTATATTGATGGCCGCTACATGTAAATCATGTGTGTGCTTTTTTGGCGGGTGTTCTTGTTTGTAATTGCTTAGTTTTGTGCATGCAGTGCTGTGGGAATGATAGTGGGCATGAAGTGAATCAAAACGTTGACCCTATCTCCCATCTCCGTTTGTGTCATTTTTGTGTAAAATTTTTCAAATTGGCATAGAATGCAAGCTAAGATTTGAAAGTTTTCATTAGTGCCTTAGTATTCTGCTAAATGGTGTATCCAAAAAGTGCAAATATGGAGCTTTTATTTGACTCGGAATTTAACAAATTTGTCTTCTTTTTAAATTTTTTTTTACATCAGCACAGGGAATTTCAAGCCTGTTTATTTGTCACGTATACATGTATTTAAACTTGCAGCGTCTTCGTCGAGAAATGGAGGATGTTTCTCAGGAACAATCTCAACATGAACACAGCTTTAAGGTATATTCAGTTGGATGCAAAGAATTTGTTAAGTTTCTAGAAGGGGTCCATGAATTGAACAACTGTGTCTTTCTTGGCTTGTACTTAACAAAAATATTAAAAAAACTTTTAATTTTCTGTGCAAAAGGGAGGACTGATTTTGGGGGATTTAATAGTTAAGTGCCTGATCGATTGTCTTGTTGGCTGGTTGGTTGGCTGCCTGGCTGGTAGGCTGGCTGTTAGGTTGGCTTGCTGGCTGGCAAGCTGGCTGGTAGGTTGGCAGGCTGGCTGGCAGACTGGCCTTGTGGTAGGCTAGCTGTTAGGCTGGCTGGCTGGCTGGCTCCCCTGTTGGCTGGCTGTCTGGCTGGCTGGCAGGTTGGCTGGTTGGCTGGCAGGCTGGCTGGTCTGTTAGGTTGGCTTGCTGGCTGGCTTGTTGGTTGGCTGCTATAGGCTGGTTGGTTGGTTGGCTGGTTGGCTGGCAGGCTGGCTGGTCTGGTAGGTTGGCTTGCTGGCTGGCTTGTTGGTTGGCTGCTATAGGCTGGCCGGCAGGTTGGCTGGTTGGCTGGTTGGCTGGCAGGCTGGCTGGTCTGTTAGGTTGGCTTGCTGGCTGGCTTGTTGGTTGGCTGCTATAGGCTGGCTGGCAGGTTGGCTGGTTGGCTGGCAGGCTGGTTGGCTGGCAGGCTGGCTGGTAGGTTGGCTTGCTGGCTGGCAGGCTGGCTGGCAGACTGGCCTTGTGGTAGGCTGGCTGGTAGGCAGGCTGGCTGGCTGGCTGGCTGGCTGGCTGGCTCCCCTGCTGGCTGGCTCCCCTGCTTGCTGGCTTTTTGGCTGGCTGGCAGGTTGGCTGGTTGGCTGGCAGGCTGGCTGGTAGGTTGGCTTGCTTGCTGGCAGGCTGGCTGGCAGACTGGCCTTGTGGTAGGCTGGCTGGTAGGCTGGCTGGCAGGCTGGCTGGCTGGCTGGCTGGCTTCTATGCTGGCTAGCTGTCTGGCTCCCCGGCAGGTTAGCTGGTTTGCTGGCTGGCTGGCTGGCAGGTTGACTGGTTTGCTGGCTGGCTGGCTCCCCGGTTGACTGGTTTGCTGGCTGGCTGGCTTGCTGGCTGACTCCCCGGCCGGCAGGTTGGCTGGTTGTCAGACTGGCTGGCTGGCTTGCTGGCTGGCTGGCCGAATGGTTGGCCGACTGGTAGGCAGGCTGGCTGGCCGATTAGCTGGCAACAAGTTCGCATCACAACCAATTTTGGATCAAAACACAAATACAGTAACACAACTCTGCAAATGTAGCATGCTGCTCGTGAATGTTGTATGCTCAATGTATAAAAAGCATGTGACATGCCAGTGTGCCTGTTTTGCAAAAGTGAATCAAAATTTGCATGAAAGTGCATAAAAGAATGTCCTCAATGTTCTTCAATTTTTCTACTTTTCCTACTTTCTGCTCCCTTGGAATTTTGCTAATTAATTTTACACAAGAGCTGCTCGCACAGAAGCCTCTTACGTACTAATTCATTACCACCATTTACTGTTAAGAAGGATGTTCATGTGTCATATGTATAATTTGTTACAAAATTTGGCTTCCCAGTCATGTCAGTCTTTAAATTGGCGTATTTATAATGCAAGTCTGTACAGTGCCTGAAAAAGAAGTCCACCAAACTGAAAACAATCAAACAATATGCATGACTTTAATGAATGCACAGATTTCCCTCAGAGGATTCACAATCAAAACTTACAGTCAAAAGCAGCACTTTTGACTCAAGTTTACAACACCCTTGGATAAAGGTAGAGTATATCATTTGTCACTTGTGCATTCATTTTTCGTTTGAAGCAACAACAGTGCTGAAAATCTAAAGAAGGGTGCTTAACAACTAACCTGATGAAGTTTTAGCTCTGTGAATGCTGTACATTCCGAGAAGATAATATTCTAACCGAGCCATGTTTTGAATTGCGCCGGAAATCAGCGTCCGGGGCACGTTCTCATTCAGCCGATTGCAGCTACACGATGTCACACGCTGAACTAACGAATAATACCAACCTCGCTTGCCGAAGCTTGTGTGCAGCCATTCACGGCTTCGCCGAATTAAAGCGAACTACTGGTACATGTACTGACGGAAATTTCCAAAAATGCCTCTTAAGACGCATCTTTGGAAATGGCCTTCATTTATAGTTGTCTTCAAAATGACAGCATGCCAGAAGGAATAATTTCACAGGCAGTTTAGTACCATTACTATCTTTAAACCAAGTAAGCTTTTCAACAATAATTTTAAATGATATACTCTACCTTTAAGTTCTAAGACAGTGAACCAGCTTTCGGACTACTGATCACAATTCAGATCTGTGGGAAACAGATATAACCCCTCCGACAAATACTGTTCAGCCCGGTTCCTTTAGGTGTAGCAGAACGTTTTGTTTTTTGTTTTGCTTTGCCTCCCTGGTTTCATACCTTGTTTTGCTCTGGTTTTACAGCCACCTACTCCGGAGCATTGGTACCGGCGTAATCGCAATCGTTTCCTGCGATTGCCTAAGGTAGTAGCCACATATGCAGGCAAATCAAGAGCTGTTTGGAGTGTCTTACGATTATACTCACCACATTTTGCACTAGCAGATAGAATCATCAATTTACCATTTCTCTCCCTGCTGTTTTTCTCTCATTGGTTTTTTTTTTAATTGAGTTTTTCAAAGCTTTTCATTTGTTTTGTTCTCCAAACATTGCTGGGTTTGGTTACCAACTTACAAAAAAACCCCCAAAACTAGTCAAAGCTTTTTTTTCATGTTTCGCTGATCACTTGCTCCTGCTGTCCACAAATCTTGCTTTTATTCAGTTCATTGTAAGCAGTAATATGAAATAAAGTTCACTTTATTCAATCAGATATCCACTTTGGGGGATTGGAGATGCTTTGTCCCACAACAACCTCCTTTATTTATACTTAACAGTTTTTGTTAAGCGTTACTTTAAGAATTATTTTTTTTAAAAACCTTTTACTCAGTCATTTCTTCTTATTTAGTTTTTTTTTGGGGGGGGGGTTCCATTGAATTTCTTGTTTCTTTTAGTATCGCTGTGAATGAATCACAAGTTGTCAGGTAAACGGTTTTCAGGACAGGTAGATGACTTCCAATGGAAGAACATTTAGTTCCAAAGGAATCCGTAGTTGGCCATCCTTAATTTTGAATGAAAGGTTTGCGGAAACACCGTGTTGGAATAATTTCTCAAGCTAAGAGAATGATTCTGAAAAGAACCAGCGGTTTTTAAACTTGATGTTTTGATTTTGATATTTTTCCCACGGCGATGTGAAACACGCCGTGGGCTTGAGCTGATTATGTTTGTTGGTTGTTGGGCGGTTTGGTTGGTGGACACTTTACTCGGCCATATATTGTATTCATACAACTCCAGTATTACAGCTTTGCATTCGAAGACTGGTTTTGCAAATACTGATCGCATGCGTCCAATTTGCATTTTCCTGCATAATGGATTACGCCTTTTCGTTTTCTGTACTTGCCAGGTACCAGCGCGGTGTATGGCCCGGGTGCAAGGACGGTGCCATATAGCCGTCTTCGCACATCCCCCGGCCCCCGTGGGCTGTACCACTTGGTACTTATTTAAAAACTTAGGCAAAAATAAAAAAAACTTTATTCAAATACACTTCATAACCAAAAGTGTCAGCACTGAATGCATGCTTTATGCACATAAAAAAGAAGAGCACCTCGATAACGTATGTGTGACATGCATGTACATGTACAGGGTTTGAAGCATACCTGCAAAAATGTTTTTTAAAGGCACAGTTTTACCCCAAGTTATACTGCCTTTATTTTCAGTGCTGTATTGTGATGTTGGCCTTGTATCAAAGTGTCTCCTTTAACTACCCATAGCCCCTGCAAAAATACAACTGCATGTTTTGTTGGAATCTGTTGGAGTGAGTACTGCACTAGTAAACTGATTATGCTTTACATGGGGTCAGGCATACCACCATAGTCAGAATCTAACAGTTTGGGTGTAGAGTTTACCGTATGGTGTTGGATTTTGCAAGAGTGAGGAAGCTTCCTAGTAAATCAGCGAAGGGGTTAGCTAGGGTTATTTGTAAAAATGCACAATATATCTGAGAGGCACTTTCTATTCCTTAGCTGCATATTAACCAGTTCGCGCCGAATGACATGTATACATGCAAAGGTTTTGCGGAATTCGGAACGGATGACGGATAAACACGCAACGAGCGAGGCCGGAAATATCTGTCAGCGACCCGCTCGCAGCAAGCGAGGCGGGAAATATCAGGGTGTGCTACCCGCAGATGACGGCCTGAACCTGTCTGGCATCGAGGTTCGTGAAAAACAATCAACAATGTCAAAATAATCCCGGCGCGAACTGGTTAACAGGTGAATACACACGCAAACCAGTGCCCGTGTCTTACACTTGAAGATTGTCGTTACAGCACCGTCTTTAAGTTAAATGTAGAGTTCAGTATTGCTCACTTTAGTCAACAGTGTGTGGTGTTTGCTGTTAGAAACCCATGAAGCTGGCTTATGCGAAATTTGTAGAACGCCATGGTCCAGTGGTTACGGTGTTTGACTCACGCACGATGGTGCGTGGGTTCGAATCCTGCCAAGAACACGGTGTTTGTGCTTTTGGGCAAGACACTCAACTACAATTGCCTCTCTCCACCCAGGAGTATAAATGGGTACCTGTGAGGGTGGAGGACCGATTGAGCGCCGATATCGGCTGCCGCGTGGTCCCATGGCCTGATGAACGGGGGAATAATTGTAAAGCGCTTTGAAATTGTTGATACGATGGAAAGCGCTGTATGAGCACTATTATTATTATCCCGAGATTTTCACCCATATGAAATTAAGCACACTCTCTTTTGTAATGTGTAATGATGTGGACATATATATCGTCTTTTGAATATTTTACAGTGAACTTTTGTAACCCCTACCTATTCACAAGCCGTTATGAGGAATTGTGTGCCTGCACTGAAGTGTGCACATGTTGATTTCTTATTCATAAATACCTCAGACAGTTTAGCCATTCCTATTGGTCGAGAGCCCGTCACGTGGCCGGTATTAAACGGATGATAAAGACATGGCTAGCTGGTCTTAAACACTTTTCCAGTGTCACAATAAAATGTGGACTCCTAAAAATCCAGTGCCTCTTATCGTTTCATTGGTTGAACGTTCACAATCCTCACGTAGGCATGCGCAACACTACCAGGGAGTTAGAATTTTATAGTTCTAAATTCAAAACGCAACGCGCCAGGTGCGTTCTGCGCGACATCGCGTAGAACATGATACGCGCGCGTCAATCTCCATAAAAGGGTTGTTTTCATCTTACTCGCCAGCTGAACACTCCATTATTTTGCAGGAGGGATGTTTCAAAAAGCATAAAGTGAATTTGTTGAACAAAATCGGGATGTTTTGAACGAATTATATGATTTTTTTTTACCGAAAAGGTATTTATGAATGGGAATAAATATGTACTCCGTCGGTATTTATCACTCTGTTTAATACCACTTAGAGTCTGGGTGCTGATAATTACCCTCGCCTCCGGCTCGGGTAATTATCAGCACCCAGACTCTAAGTGGTATTAAACAGAGTGATAAAAACCTCCGGAGCACACATTTATTCCCTTAGTCATGTATTCATTTTGACATTATATCCATTTTAATGCCTTTTTTACAAATGAGGTAAATCGCTGTTTGTTATTTGCTCTGCTGCTGTTTCAATTTTACCATTCTTTCTCATCAGTTTTTAAAATTGACATAACTTGCTTTTTCTAACATCAATGCTGCTTTCAGGTTGCTGTTGGCTTTTCACCGGCTTTCACGCTACTTTGTTTTTTCCTGTTCTTGCAATTCTCACAGGACTTGGATTCTCATACAATTCAATTCCATCGTTTCAACGAATAAAGTTTATTTTGACATGTTGAAGTCAAAACAGATTGGCTAGAGGTTGATTGTGGGCGTGGCCACACAGTGTTTATGTGGCAGTACACATCTTTCTCTGCCCACACATGCCTCAAGTCAATCCTTTCTGTCTAGTATTTGTATTAATTGATTTCCCATTTAGTTGTGTTGAACTGTTAATCACTTTTGCTATATTTGGAATCTCGCTTCGTTTCATCAACCCAAGGCCTTAGACCTTTTTTTTTCAAGGCTAAAAATTCATGGTTGATGGGTCAGTTCTTTAAAATGTCACAAACTGCGTATAATAAACACCGCAAAAAAACCAAAAAGAAAGTCCACACTCACTGGAGGGGCCATAATTTTGAATTTGATCGTCTTATGATGGCGTCATTTATATGGACCTTTGGGGAATGTTGTTAGCTACATTTTGATACCCCATTTGCTACCAAAGACTGTAAATCGTCCAAGATGGACAACAGTTTATGAACAATGATGCAGTTTGGAAAGTTGCAAATTATAAAGAGTATACGCGAATGGGAATTGCTGCGTGACAATGTAACACTGCCCAAAACGTACGGCAGGGAAAATCGATCGCACAGTGCTTGTATGCAGGGGAGCATGCGAAATTGAGTTAACCACGCTTTGTTCGGGCACTGTGCAATCGATTTAAAGGCGTGTTTGTTTGTGCTTAGCGATTTCTCCTTGCGTAATCTTTAATTTTGCAACTTTTCAAAAGGCATCATTTTTCATAAACCGTTGTCAATCTTGGACGATTAACAGGCTTTGGTAGCCAACGGCAATATTCCCCAACGGTCTAGATAAATGACGTCATCATAAGACTATCATATTCAAAATTATGGCCCCTCCAATGTGTGTGGACTTTTTTTTGCAGTGTTTATATCATTCTGCAAGTAGATAGCTAAAATTCTTCTTTGGAAAGTAACTCATTTTGATAACCCAATTTTTGGAAAATGCAGAAACATTTTTAGGAGTGCTGCTTTTATGTAAAGAAACCATTAAGAACAAATTGTGATTTTTGGGGGTTTTTTTTTGGGGGGGGGGGTGGGGCGGGGGCGGGGATGGAGGGTGGGTGGGTGTTGATAGGGAGGGGCAGGGGCAGGGGCAGGGGTTGTTTGCAATAACTTTGTGAAAACGTTTAACTTCTTTAGCCAAGAGCTGTTATTTCCTGACGAAATGCATAATTGGTTTGACTAATTTTTTAACTAACCTGTACTGTAAAGAATAATCATTTTACTCTTTAAGTGCAGAATAATTTGTACTAATTAGACAAAATGGACAGAATACATTCTGACATTCAAGCCCATTCCATCAGCTCATCTTTGGTAGCTGGGTGCCATTTTGAACTGACATATCGGCTCTTTTCAAATGAAGAATGTACAGTCATCTCGATAATAATCCTGGGGAAAAAAAAGTTGTGGAGAAAATGACCCTGATAGGGAGCATTTTTTTCTCTCAGAAACTCTGTGTCACTCTGGGCGGGCAATCTCATGGGGAATCTTCATCAGCAACTGCTTGACGAAGCAAGCCTATTCATGCAACAGAGTGCCCATATATGGGCTCCGTGCACAAGAACCCCCTCAACGGTTACAATGGGAGAGTTGGGGGAGACCACTGGGCAGGGAGGGACACTTGATAAATGTATTGCCGAACGGTGCCTGGCACTCACGCGAATTCAGAATCAAATGAGTCCCGTCCAGTAGGCTCTCGAAAGTGGTCACAAAACTCTATCTTCTGTTTTGTACATGCACATGGAGTCCATATCGCTGGTCGAGCAAAATTAGAAGCCATTTTCGAGGTGGCACCAGGCGCCCGCTCATGTAGTAGGCACGCACTGCGGGCTCCTTAGACCAATCGGGTTAACAGGCAGGTTGTGGGTTTGAGTCCAGCCTGGGGTCATGTTGCGTGTGCCCTCGGGCAAGGCACTTTGTCACCCATTGCTTCTAGGTAAATGGGTACCTGTGAGGGCAGAGATGGTTATTGCGGTTGAACTAGCTTCCTTGCGCCTAACGGGCAGCATGGAGCTGTATACTCCCCAGGGAGCTGAGATGGTATATGGAATGTTTCATGGACCCAATGAGCAGGGGTAATAATGATGTAGCGCCTTGAGCACCAGTCCTGTGCGCTTTATAAATACCCACTATTATTATTATTTTTATTAACAAAACCCACGCACGTCTCATCTTTAAGAATGCATGCGGCATGCACGCGGCTCCAACTAAAAAACAGCTTCTGAGTTTGTTTGCCGAATGAGTCTATTGGGGTCAATTTCGCCTGCAACTTTTTCCAGGATTGTTTTTGAGACGACCCCTTAAATATGTATGCTATGTTTACATTTTGACTTGTCTCTCTACTTGAAGGAGTTCCACAGTACCAGCCTCAAGTCTCGCCTCAGCATCCTGTCCTCGGGCGTCGGCCAGGGCCTGCAGCACTCACAGCGCTCCTCGGTCACCGGCGCCCTGTCCTCCCTGGTCTCCCCCAGCCTGCAGCCCAAGCCCCGGTTCGTGGAGAGCCGCTTCTGCCGTGAGCTCATGGAATCTAAGTTTGACGAGGTACGAAAGTTGGACTTGACGTTGGTAATGCAAGCTGTTGTCTTTCTCTAAAATCTGTTGCCGAATCTGAGATCGTGGAATTCAAATTCGACAGAAACTTTAAAACATGGGAGAGTTGCTGAAGTCTATATTGCAGTGATGTTGGTATGGTTACTTAAAGGGAATATACAACATTTGCAAACATCGAAAAATAAAACTACCAAGTTTTTACGAAATACCTTACTAGGATGTTGGTAAATGACAGTCTCAAGCGTCTTGTAAAATTATGGCACCTGGTGTGAAGTCATTTTCAAGAATATGGTATTTTTGTAAACATTTCCAACGGTGGTCGGCCGACCACCGTTGGAAAAACCTAACTATTTTTCAACTACTGCTCCAAATTTACCATTTTTTCAGTCCAAATTTTGTTTGCTATTGGTTACATGTTCATGAACGGGTGCAGGCCAGCTAGACTGGTTCCCTTGCCTTACAATTTTCCATCATCTATAAATTGATCTATTTTATCTTTTGTGGAGTCAGGGAACCAGACTACTTGAACATTTTTGTTTTCTTGGTGTTTCCAACCTTTTCGAACACAAAACTTCAAAAATGTCAGTGTAACAATATTTGATCTATTATACTAACCTCTCAAATAAATCATTTCTGAAAATTTACAGCAAAATCCAATGATGTACATTCCCTTTAAGTTTGCGATTGTTCTCTTTTCTTTTAGGGTTGATGTCATATGTGACCTGTTCTGTCAAAAGCAGACGCTTCTAGGCAGAGGCTGAAATTGAGATAGGGCCAAAAAACGCTGTGGGGGTGATTTTTATCGATTTTCAAATTTTTGCATATTTGTAATCCTGAACATGTCTAAAATATATTATAAAAGTTTGAAACCCTAATTTGAACTCTACATATACTATTTTTGATGATTTTGATAAGGTATATCAGTTAAAGAAATAACTGTTTTGTGATGTTCGTGGCCATTTTCTCTGTTTTCTACTTTTCGACACAATGAACTTCAAAATAGCATAACTCTGCCCAGGAATGACCGGTTTCAAAAATTAAACCACCTATTAAAAGGAAAAAGAACATATGTTAACAATATGTAAAAATATCATTTTCGACCTTATGCCCAGAAAAGTCTGATTTTGACACAACAGGTCACATATATCGGCACTTCCAGCGTTACGAAAGAAAGTGTAAAGTCCGTGACAGAGCCAATTAACCATATCTAATTAATGATTCAGAGAAATGATCCAAAACCCCTAGTCTGTAATCTCCTGGACCGTTTACTAGATGGTGGATGTATAAGATAAAAAAAAAATGTATTTTCAGGTTTATTCACTGAGCTCTTAACAGCTCTGTCACAGACATTACATAATGCTGCCATTGCCCATGTGATAAACTTGTCACTGAAAACCCAACATTTAGTGGACAAACGTGGTTACCATTAGTCAGAAACCTGAAAAAAAATTGAGGGGAATCAAAATTAACACATTTCATTTTAATTATCTGTGTGTAGTTTTTCTTTAAGGTGCCTGATTATTATCAAACCATGTTTTCCCTCAAATTTCGGACATTTCAGAAAACCTTTAAAGAAGTTCATTGTGGTTTAATAGGAGATTAGAATTTGGGGAATGAGGGTAGGGAGAAATTTGAAATTTACAGTCCTCCGTTCGCTATCTTGATACAGAACAAAAGCCATCTATGAATAACAGGATTATCCAAGTGCTGTTAAACGACCCTTCATGATTTTTGTTTTATTTTAGATCTGTTTCAATTAACACAAAGGAAAATTAAGTGTCAATTTCAAATTAACATGTTAACATCTGTTTGTGAAAGAAAATATGGGCTGAAAAAGCTTATCATTTCAAAACATGTGTCTGAAGACTTGGTATACACTAATATGGAATAAACTTTGGAATATACTTTTGAACTTAACGTTTTCTCTCTTGTTTGTTTTTAGGTTTGTCAACAGGTACTGAAGTACCGTAACAGTCGTAGTCCCCTCATACAGCAGACACTGCTGACTCTCATACCAAGACTGGCCGCCTTCCAACCTGCCAGATTTGTCAGTCTGTGAGTACCTGCGTGTCAAACTATACCAGTTGCATATATTGCAAGCATGAAAAATGTAGTTGTTCTAAATAAAGTTAAACCATATTTAAAGATATAGTCCATCATTTGTAATTTGTGCATTTTGTACGTTTGAAGCAACAAAAGTGTTCAAAATCTAATGAAGGATACTGAACAACTAACCTGATGAAGTTTCAGCTCATCTTCAGCTGTATATTCCGAGAAAAATAGCATTCTAGGATCTCAATTTCAAATCAAAAGTTGCTGAATCATGTTATGAATTCGTTTTGAACTGTAGCTATATGCGATGTCGCGCACTGATCCGACGAATTATAGCAACCGCGCACGCCTGTGCGTCGTGCCAATGCTTCCGCGCGCTGCGCCGAATAACAAAACGAACTACTAATTTAGATTTTCCTACAGTGCGTCTTAAAACGCACCGTTGGAAAGGCCTTCTTTCGTTGATTACTTCAAAATGACAGCTTGCCAGAAAGAATAATTTCACAGGCAGTTTAGTCCCCTTACTATCTTTCAACTAAGTATGTTTTTCAACAATAATTACGCCAGTTACTTTTCGAATAGCTGCAAATCAGTCTTCCAAATCAGGAGTGGCCTGTGCAAAATTAAAGCCTGTATTTATGAAAATGTACAGGAGCATCTTCGAATACCGTGTTTGCGTTGCTATCGTAATTACAGGTAGAGTACATCATTTGCAGCTGTCCCAAAAGTAACTGATGAAATTATTGTTGAAAAGCATACTTGGTTTATAGAAAGTAATGGCACTAAACTCCGTGTGAAGTTATTCCTTCTGGCTTGCTGTCATTTTGAAGAAAACAGTAAAAGAAGGCCATTTCCAAAGATGCGTCCAGCGACATGTTTTTGGAAATTTCTGTTAGTAGTTGGTTTGTAATTGGTCGAATCCGTGAATGGGTGCGCGCAAGCGTTGACACGACGCACACGTGTGCGTGGTTGCTTTTATTCGTCAGTTCAGTGCGTGACATCGCGTAGCTGCAATCGGCTGAATGAGAACGTGTCCCGGACGCCGATTACGGGCGCAATTCAAAACATGACTCGGCAACTTTTGAAATGAAAACAAAATCGAAGAATATTGTTTTCTCGGAATGTACGGCATTCACAGAGTTAAAACATCAGGTTAGTTGCTAAGCATCCGTCTTTAGATTTTGAGCTTTTCTGTTGCTTCAAACGAAAAAAAAAATGCACAAATGATATGTGATCTATCCTACCTTGAAGATTGTTAATAATCACAGCTTTTGTTGCACTTCCACTTTTTTCCACAGGACACCCACTAGATAGCTCATTTGAAATATTCAGTGGCATATTTAAAGGAAACATGCAGTCCAAAATTTTCATAACGTATTTTATTTTACATATACATTCATTTATGTGTATTAAGTGTGAAATAAAAGCAGAACTGGTTCTGGTGTACGTTTAGTGTGGTAATTTGCCGTCCAAAATTGAACCCCCCCTTTTTGATTTTCGCGGCAACTCCAAATGAGGGCGCTGTTCATGACATAAACAAAGGCAGAGAAATCCAGGGCCCGTAAATGACGTCTGGGTACGAGACGGATTAGCGAAGCTACTGTGCTGTGTGTATGTGCAGCCGCCGCGTACCCGTACGTGGCATTATATGCACACGTACGAATGTGTCTACATGGGATATGTACAGTACACGTGGACGTGCCACGGTGCCACCGTTGTCGAATGAACACGACGACCGTCATGACCGTAAAAGTTCCGAAGACCGTCCTCTTCTTTCCTTAGCGAATCCGATGAAAATGGTACAGATTCGTCCGATTCGAATCTGAGTTCTAATGATTCAGACACTGACTCGATGTTTTTTTAGGGGCATGCCCAAGTTGCTGTACAGACCAGCATCAAAGCACGACGGCTCAAAGTGCAGCGCAGAGGGCAGCGAACTCACTGGGCCCGGACCACTTTGCTCTGGTATTTACCTTCACTTTGGCTCTCCAAATGCTCCAATATTTCGGATTTACTGGAAATGAAGGCTTACTCCATCCTTGGTAGTTTTGCTACACCCAGCAGCCACACACCTTGTCGGCATGGCCGAAAATCGGGTGTTATTTCTCCTCGATTCCGAACGAAACACCAGAAAAACTTTCAGTGCCGCAATGTATATGTACATGTATTATGATGCACGCCGCAATGCCGGTGCCCCCGCAGCGCGGCAAGTCTCTGCCTCCGCTTGCGTCATACCCCTCGCGAAGTTTTATGTTAATGAAGCTTCCCTTTGTGGGGCGGAGTAGTTTGACCAAACATGTTCACAAATTATTTTCCCCCATTTATCTTAGAAAATAAACACCGCCATACACAAAATATTGTTAAGAACATCATCCTTTATTGATTTAAGCAAAAAAAATGCAATCAAAATTTTATTTCATGTTCCCTTTAAGGCTGGGGGGGGGGGGGGGTGCCATGGTGCCTGCTCCCTGAAGACTTGACCTTACCCTTCGGGAACACTGGTAACTTTGGACGTTCCCCATGAAACAGCATGCGATCCAGATTGAAATAGTCAGGTTTTTTCATTCTAAACCTATGTCATGAAGTTAATTGTCTAATGCATTTGCCCGTAGATACTTGGATGATTCGGTTCAGCATCTCTTGAATAGTTTGAGAAAGGTAAGAAGTAATAAAATACTCAAACTATTAATAAATATGTTGTGAAGTATCATATTTATGACAGAGGAATAAGTAAAGCACAAGAACAACAAAATTAACTATAATAAGATAAGTTGTTGCGGTAGCACCATGTGGCAAAATCGCTTTTGTGAGTATGTGTGGTTCTGAACAGAATCGGAGGGTACACAATGTTTTGGACAGTATTCTCTGCCCGTCGTAAGGATACTGTCTGAAACATTGAGTCCCTCTGGTTCTTTTCAGAACCACACATACTCAAAAAAGCGATTTTGCCACATGGTGCTACAGCAACAACTTATCTTATTATTACCCTTTCACAATGCAAATCTCAGAATTAGCTGTAGAAAAGGTCTGGTTATGCATGTACTTCTCTGCCAACTTGAAATGTTGAGTGGATCTTGTCAGATTTTTAAATGCAACAGCAAAGTCTCAGTCTGTTTAAGGTATGTAGGATCATTTGCTTTTCCAAAAATTCCCAAGATTTTAAAAACTCCCAAGCTTTAAAATTCACAAGATTTAAACACCCTTAGGCCAAAAAAAAAAGTCTCCGGTTTCTGGTATGGAGCTTGCCCAAAAAGTGGTGCGGCGACGCGGCTTTTTTTTTTTTTTGACCTGTTTTTTTTGCTTCAAATGTCGGCTGATGACTGCAAATGGTGCCCAACTAAACTTAGTGCAAATATTATGGGAGACCAGAGAGGCCACATAAAGCTTATTCTCGATCATAACCCCATCTAAAAACACGTTAAAATTGTGCAGCAGCAGGATTCCAGTCAAACCAGTGAGTTTGGCGGTTTTGAGACATCATCTTTCATTGAAAAAAAAACTTGTTCATGCCGACGCGCATGGCTACGGCGACGCGCGTGCATACCAGAAACTGGAGACTTTTTTTTTGGCCGTAAGATCCAAGAAATTCCCAAGATGTAACATTTCCTGATCTAATTATTTTTGTTGCCTCATCATCGCATCAGGAGCGAGAGCGTTCCAGTGCCTTCCAGGCCGTGGGTCTGTTGTCTGTTGCTGTCAAGCATGAGATCATGCCGCATCTGCAGAACATCCTAGTCATAGTCAAGGCCTCTCTGCCACACAAGGACTACCACAGCAAGTAAGTCCTATTGATTTTGGTTTTCACATCTCTGCAACGGATTTCAAACTTGAGCTCGAGTTCAAAAAATTTTATTGGGAAAGTGGGGCAGATTCTCCTATGTTATGTACATTGGCTGGCACAATGCTTCTGCAGAGATTAAAATATTGCCCGAATTATTAAAAAAAATCCCAAGATGCAAAAAAATCTCCCAATAGTACAAATTCCCATGATTTCAAAATTCCAAAGATCCAAAAATTCTTGAAAAAATCTGAAGATTCAAAAACTCCCAAAAATCCAAACTTTTCCCAAACTTTGAAATTCCCAAGATTTTAAAATTCCAAGATCCGAAAATTTCTTAATTTTTGAAAATTCCCAAGATTTTGAAAATTCCTGAGATTTATAAATACCCAAGATTTAAACATTAAATTTTGTCCAAAATGCCAATATTCCCAATATCACAATTCCCCAGGATCCAAAAGTTCATAACGTTTTTTAAACACTCCCAGGATATAATAATCCCATAATGCCAAGATTTCCACGGTGGAAAACATTTCCAAGATCCAAAAATTCCCAAGATCCAAACAAGAGCGAAAAAAGTTTACCCCCTGAATGTACTGTATGTGATCTCTTGCTTGGATTGGAGGACGATGTGATACAAGCTTAAACTATTGTTTCTCCCTGCCCCTTACCCATCGACAGGAAGCACAAGACGAGCCCAGTAGACCCCTCTGTCTTCACCTGTATCAGCATGCTGGCCAGGGCCGTGGGTAACAACATCTACGGTGACGTCAAAGACATCTTGGAACCTATGCTGGCTGTTGGGCTCAGGTAGCAATTTATTGATTGACTGCCATCATTTAAAGACTGGAGCGTGGTTTAGCAGGCTGAGATTTGTCAGTTTTTTTCCCCTGATTCCAAGATTTTTAAAGAGTCTCTTTTGAAGTCTGGAGTTCCCGAGGTTTTGCCATTAAGGTGTCTATACCTGTAAAGTTTGTATAGAACAAAATAAATGGTTAGGCCAAAAAAAAAATAATTCTGCTTCCGATTACATGGCATTCGAAAATAGGGTAGGCAGGTAGGGAATTTTTTTTTTGGGGGGGGGGGCATTTTTTTGTGTGTACGATCATATGGAGGCGTCTGCGTGCAGTCAAGGGTAAAAGGTAAAAATTGATGGTTTTGGGTGTTTTTTCCTCATTTTTCCCATACAAAAAATTAGGGTAGGAGCTCTCAGAATAGGGTAGGTAGGGAAACCAGAAGTAGAACTATTATTTTTTTTGGCCTTATTATAAGGGGTGCCTTCAGGCAAATAAAACCATGCACCTTACAAATCTACGTTGCCCTGCAGCCCTCATTGGCCTTCAAGGCCTGCTGCATATTTCGTGGAGTTTTCATTTTCTCCCAATAGTTCCCCTGGTTTTTGGTTAGGATTGCAACTGATGATCAGAGCAGGGAGTTTGAACCCAGCCATTCTCAAAATGTTGTGTCCCCAGGCAAGCTATTTTACACCCACTCGCACTTCATTCACCCATAAATGTAAATGAGTATTGGCATTAGGCCCCCCAAACAAAGTCTCCGGTTTCTGGTATGGAGCTTGCCCAAAAAGTGGTGCGGTGACGCGGCTTTTTTTTTTTTTTACCTGATTTTTTTGCTTCAAATGTTGGCTGATGACTGCAAATGGTGCCCGACTAAACTTAGTGCAAATTTATGTGAGTCCAGAGAGGCCACATACAGCTTATTCTCGACCATAACCCAATCTAAAAACACGTTAAAATTGTGCAGCAGCAGGATTCCAGTCAAACCAGTGAGTTTGGCGGTTTTGAGACATCACCTTTCATTCATCAAAAAACTTTTTCATTTTGCCGATGCGCATGGCTGCGGCGACGCGCGCGCATACCAGAAACGGGAGACTTTTTTTTTTGGCCTTAGCTGGGGAGTAACATGCAATGTACTGATATCCCATCCATAGGGAATAAAGTCATTCTCGGTCGGTTCATGCCAGCACAACTCCATTCAGAAGTATTCACAAGTCCGTCACAAGTCTGCTCACAAGGAACTCACAAGTCCATCACGAGTCCAGTCACATGGAAATCACAAGTCCATTCATAAGTCCAGTCACAAGTAACAGGGGATGGACAATAACAAAGGAATGCCTTTTGTTACATTTGAATAGCTTGAGACTTGACTTAGGACAGGAAAACTTGTGATGGACTTCAGAGGACTTGTAAAGACGTTTGACGTATTCAGCTATACTTGTATACACTGCCAAATTCTCATATCCCCTTCTGTTGATCAACATTCATAAATACCTCATACAGTTTAGCCATTCCTATTGGTCGAGAGCCCGTCACGTGGCCGGTCTTAAACGGATGATAAAGACATGGCTAGCTGGTCTTAAACACTTTTCCAGTGTCACATAAAATGTGGACTCCTAAAAATCCAGTGCCTCTTACCGTTTTATTGGTTGAACGTTCACAGTCCTCCCGTAGGCATGCGCAACACTACAAGCGAGTCAGAATTTTATAGTTCTAAATTCAAAAGGCAACGCCCCAGGTGCGTTCTGCGCGACAACGCACGCATCAATCTCCATAAAAGGGTTGTTTACATCTTAATCACCAGCCGAACACTCCATTATTTAGCTAGAGGGATGTTTCAAAAAGCCTGAAGTGAACTTGTTGAACAAAATCGGGATTTTTTTCCCGAAATATTATATTTTTTTGACCAAAAAGGCATTTATGAATGGGAATAAATATGTGCTCGGTCGGTATTAATCACTCTGTTTAAGACCGCTTAGAGTGATTAAAACCTCTCGAGCACTCATTTATTCCCTTAATAAACCCCTTTGCATTTTCTGCATCCTCCAGCCCCGCCCTGACGGCCTCCCTGCATGACCTAGCCCAGCAGATCCCCCGCCTCAAGAAGGACATCCAGGATGGCCTCCTCAAGATGCTGTCCCTGGTGCTGATGAACAAACCCCTCAAGCATCCCGGCACGCCCAAGGGCCTCATGTCTCCAGTATCCCCTGCCGGTAAGAAAGGTCCTTCAAAGAAACTGACCATCTCTTACAAATGTTTTTGTCTACATTTGAATTCAAGTACAGGGTGATTTTAAAAAGAAAGTGACCTGGATTAATTATTTGTTTCCCCTTCAAAAGCAATCAAATTTAATACATGCCATGGTCCAGTGGTTACGGTGTTTGACTCACGCACGATGGCGCGTGGGTTTGAATCCTGCCAGGAACATGGTGTTTGTGCCCTTGGGCAAGACACTTAACAACAATTGCCTCTCTCCACCCAGGAGTGTAAATGGGTACCTGTGAGGGTAGAGGACCAAATGTGCGCTGATATCGGCTGCCACGTGGTCTCATGGCCTGTTGATGACTAGGTCTGGCAGGGGAACAGGATTGAAATTTTAACTGTCTGTAACTGATCAAACGAAAGGAGGGTTAATGGAGAAAACATTGTGCATACTGTTGTACAAAGCATGTTCGAATTTTATCGAAATGCGAATGCTGAAATTTGCAATACTCGGCCTGATTCATCTTGTTGATAGTGCCTTCTCTCGCTGTGGTGGTATGACTGCGCTTCACAGGGACTAATTGCACTTCAATACAGAACAAAATCTGTATCCATTCTTAGACCGGCCTCGTGGCATGCAGCATCGAAGTCGTGGTTTGCGGGTAATTCTGCCGGTTGTGGGTTCGATTCCAGCCTGGGGTTATGACACTTTGTCACTCATTGCTTCTCTCCATCCAGGAGTAAATGGGTACCCGTGAGGGTAGAGATGGTTATTGTGGTTGATTTTAGCTTCCTTCCGCCTAACAGGCAGCATTAAGCTGTACACTCCCCGGGGAGCTGAGATGGTATTTGGAATGTTTCATTGGCCCAATGAGCAAGGGTAATAATGATGTAGTGCCTTGAGCACCAGTATTTGTGAATCTGTGCTCTTTATACATTTGTAAATGCACATTATTATTATTATTATTATTTAAAACTGAAACTGATAAACCAAGGTTTTGAATACCCAGTAGTTTTTTCCCAACATTTGTCCTTCTCTATCTAGGTTCCAGCCAAGGAGCCAGCGAGTTTGGCGACATCACCAGCACGGTGCTGGCCCTGCAGACCCTGGGCAGCTTTGACTTTGAGGGCCACTCCCTGACCCAATTCGTCCGTCACTGCGCTGACCACTTCCTGTCCAGCGAGCACAAGGAAATCCGGGCCAAGGCCGCCAGGACTTGCGCTCAGCTCCTGCAACCATCGATCAACGTGAGCTTTCAGAATTTGCAATTCGTTATATAGTCATTTGTTAATGTATTATTTTTATTTCAAAATTGAGAAAAAGAAATTGACTGGAGCAGGATTTGAACTAGTCTGAGTATCACCCATAATCCACGGAGCCAAATCCTGTATAACGTCTGACATCTCCTGACATGCAAATTTATACAAGCCGCGCTCCAGCCAACCGGAGTCGACTTTACTAAATCGTGAGGTCATTTCATTCCCAAATCAGGACTAAATGGTTCGATTTGGTCAATTCGAATGCAGTGCTTTGTAATACAACAACCGGCCCCATATTGCGTAACATGATACAGAGCGCATGACACGTTTTTTTTTAATCCATTGTCTATGACGCGCAACGGGTGAATGACGGAAGACTCGATATAGAAAGCGCCTACTGATTGGTCAAAATCTAGGAGGTCAAAAGGCGGGGTCTTGCCTAATTAATCAGCAAATCTATTCACGCGAAATAGACCACAGCGATTTACATAGACTAGGTTTGAACCTGCGACCTCCGGATTGCTGTTCCGGTGCTCTACCAACTGAGCTGTCCAGCCCCTATGTTGGCGGTTCCTCAACTTGTCAATGTCATTATTAAAGGGGTGCTATTCAGAAGCCATAAACCTGTTTGCCAAGTAGCCAGGGATCACGCCCAAAGTCACGATGCCTGCAACATAAGCAATACTGCAAAGCTGGGAAATAGCAAACAGGGATCCCTCAGACATGATTTTTTTTTCGAGGGGATGGGGGAGAAAGGAGTTGTGTTTTTGATTATCAAAATCTGTCATTCTAGAGAAACCCATGCTTTCTAGCATCTATAGTTGTCATTGATTATCTTCAATCAATTTCCACTTTTGTATCCGATCACCTTGTGTTTTGTTTCATTGTAGTAGGTAATCGACAATAAAGACCTGGGCCCAATTTCATAGAGCTGCTTAAGCACAAAATTTGCTTAAGTACGAAAACACATTGCTTAGTAAAATTGGGTTACCGGCCAAAACTCCATGTGATGTACATTGCTTGTGACTGGTATTTAGCTGTTGTTTACTTAGCATAACAATCGCATAGAGTTTTGGCCGGTAACCTGATTTTATTAAGCAAGACGTTTTTGTGCTTAAGCAAATTTTGTGCTTAAGCAGCTCTATGAAATTGGCCCCTGATGCCAGCCTTCTTGTTAAAGAGCAATTTTGTTATTAAGAATGCATAATTAAGTAGGGTTTTTTCTGGTTCCTATTCTGCCAATCATGTGAGAGTAGCAAAATAATTTATCTACCAATATAACATGTGTTGATTCTTAGACCCAAATGTTGATTTGAATGTATGTTTGGTTTAAATTCAGCTTCGTTCCAACCGACCCCACCCAGTCAGCACTACTAACATCCAGGTGGTAGCTGACGTGCTCAGCAAGCTTCTAGTAGTTGCCATCACAGACTCAGGTAAGCTAACTCTCTCCAGTTCTGGATGGGGAACCATTTAATAAGCTCCTTCATTTTGTCCAGCCCTCATAAATTATTGGAAAATGGAAGAAAACATGAACGTTTCTAAAATTTAGCAAAAAGGTCTTATTTTTTAACTTGGGGATGGTTGAGATGATCATGTGAAAAGGCCTATGGGCTTCGTGCGCCAACAAAAGAGGGCGCCCTTTTACCTAGCAACGACGTCCCATGGGTGGGACATTTCGCTGGTTGACACGCGCGCACCCTTCCTTGTGTGTGACGCACAGACACCAGGGGATTTGTACTATGTACACGCAGTGGCCGTGCTTTGCCGCAAAATATTGCAGTAAGACAAGATGGCGTTGTTCGGTCACCCCCAACTGTGCTTTCTTTGCTGGTGAGGGGGTACTTGTGAACGGAGCGGATAGTCTATGACTCTGGAGAGCAGTACTGATTCTGTTGTTTCTGCTCCCAGATCCCGACATTCGCTACTGCGTGTTAGCTTCCCTGGATGATCGCTTCGACGGCCACCTGGCCCAGGCAGAGAACCTTAGCGCGCTGTTTGTGGCCCTCCATGACGAGGTGTTTGAGATCCGGGAGCTGGCCATGTGCACCATCGGCAGACTCAGCAATCTCAACCCGGCCTTCGTCATGCCATCCTTGAGAAAGACTCTAATACAGGTGAGATTCCCTTTCAGCCCTAAACCTATGTTATGCCCAGAGTTGTGGTCAAATCCTCACAAGTCATCATGTGATTGACTTGTGATTGACTTGTGATTGACTTGTGATAGACTTGTGATTGAGTTGTGATTGACTTGTGATTGACTTGTGATGGACTTGTGATTGAGTTGTGATTGACTTAAGATTTACTTGAGATTGAACTGTGATTGACTTGTGATCTGACTTATGATGGACTTGTGATCGACTTGTGATTTGACTTGTGATTTGACTTATGATTGACTTGCGATTCGACTTGTGATTAAATTAAGATTTGACTCGTGATGGACTTGGTTGATAAAGACATGGCTGGCTGGTCTTACATTTATGATGGACTTGTGATTGACTTGTGATTGACTTGTGATCTGACTTATGATGAACTTGTGATTGACTTGTGATTGACTTATGATTGACTTATGATTCGACTTGTGATTAACTTGTGGTTTGACTTATGATGGACTTGTGATTGACTTGTGATTTGACTTGTGATTGACTTATGATTTGACTCGTGATGGACTTGGTTGATAAAGACATGGCTGGCTGGTCTTAAACACTTTTCCAGTGTCACGTGAAATTTTGGACTCCTATGAAAAGCGGTACCTGCATTGTTTTAGTGGTTGAACGTTCACAATCCTCACGTAGGCATGCGCAATACTACCAGTGAGTCAGTATTTCATAGTCCTAAATTTACACTACACCGCTACATCTGCGTTGTGCGCCACATCACGCAGTATACGTGACGCGCGTGTCAATCTCCATATAAGGAGTTGTTTACCAGAGGGCATTACCATTGTATAGCCAGAGGGGTGTTTTGTTGATCAAAATCGTTGAAAATGTTTAACTTTTTACTTGTTTTGTTTTTTGGACCGAAAAGTTTTGATTTTTTTTTGACCGGAAAAGGTATTTAAGAACTTCAGCTCAGGTAATTATCAGCATCCAGACTCCAACTGGTCTTAAAAAGAGTTTTTAAAATCCTCCCAAGCACACATAAACAAGTGAAGTATTTGTGAATGTTAAAAAACCTGGGCCCAATTTCACGGCGCTGCTAAGCACACGATTTTCTGCTAACATAGCCTCCGTCTTTTTCATGGAGACCGTTAGCATAAGCACAGCAAAAGGAAAAATTTGCTTAACTTAGTGACGTGACAATAGAAATCTCCATGCATGCGCGACCGTTAGCACGTCTACGCCGTGAAATAGTGCTTAAGGTTAGCAAACTTTTCTGCTATGCTTAGCACAACTTTTCTGCTAACTGCTAAGCAGCGCCGTGAAATTGGGCCCTGTACGTTGGTTGTATTTCTTCTCAGATTCTGACCGAGTTGGAGCACAGCGGTGTGGGTCGTAACAAGGAACAGAGTGCCAGGATGCTGGCTCATCTGGTGTCTAACGCACCCCGCCTCATCAGACCCTACATGGAACCAATACTCAAGGTAGATTCTCAGTTTCTTTACTTTTATTGATATCTGTGTGAATTTCCAAAGATGAGGGGGAGCCTGGGGCCAATTTCACAGCACTGCTAAGCACAAACATTTGCTTAGCACAAAAAAAGTCTGGCTTATAAAAGCAGGTTACCAGCCAAAACTCCACGTGATGTATATTGCTCGTGATTAGTATTCAGCTATTGTTTGCTTAGCATGAAAATCCCATGGAGTTTTGGCTGGTAACCTGCTTTAATAAGCCAGACTTGTTTTGTGCTAAGCAAATTTTTGTGCTTAGCAGCGCCGTGAAATTGGGCCCAGTTTAGTTCTTTATTGTGTTGACACTGAAGTTCTCATTTCTGGTTAAGAGGTCATATTGACTTGTTGTAAGATTTGTAATGTAAATGAAGAGAATGTAAGTCTTGGTTACATCAGATGATCTTTTAGCATGTGTGCAACAAACGGAGCATAATAAGGGAAGAATTAAACAAAATAAAAGAAGCATTAACTCGAGGATGAACCCCAAGGTACCCCATAACATCTTGAAAAAAACTCCAATTTAACCTTGAGTTAGTGCCTGTTTAAGTTCACATTCTCCAAGAACAGAAGTCATGTACGGAACAATCTACCAAGATTGAGTTTTGATCTAATTTTGTATCCTGAAGATGTTACGTTTAGCATTGTGTTTTTGTAATTTATAATGAAGTTTTTTTTTAATAAGCTCTGCGTACTCATCAGAGCTTAATGAGAGCTAGAACAAAAAATCCCAAACTACTGGGATGTGACTCAGATCTACTAGCTGAAACCATAGAACGAGTGATTTCATCAGCGTTTCACAAGATTTCTTGATCCAGAATGTCAACAGAGGTGAACTGGTCCTCATCTTGTCCTCAGTTTATTCCGATTTTGATGATTTTGTTGTCTTTCTATTCCATCAGGCGTTGATTCCCAAGCTGAAGGAGGCCGACCCCAACCCCAGCGTTGTCATCAACGTCCTGGCAGCCATTGGAGAACAGGCTCAAGTAAGGCCACATTTGTGGGAATTTCTTCGATAATTGGGAGTCGTTTTGATGTTGGCAAGGTTGTGACCTTGAGAGTTTTTTGTGATCTTGGGGATTGTGTTCAATATTGGGAATTATTGCGATCTTGAGAATTTTTCGATCTTTGGGAGTTTTATAGATCTTGGAATTTCGTCAACCTGGGGAATTTTTTTAGTTCATCTAAATCCATCAATCACTGTGCTTCCAATAGAAAACTGTACATGACTTAATGGAATCCACCACTGATGCACTGGTTGACATTCGTGGACTTGCTACACATGGCTTTTATCACCATAGCAGTACAGGAAGCTAGGCAGAATCAATCGGATACCCCTAGCACTGCTTCAGGCCGTTAGGCCCAAGTCCATCATATGTCACATCAGTGTTTAATCACGCCAGGCCTGCTGGACCGAGTCCCGCAAAATCCACCAAAATGGGGGATGGATTTTGATGGAATTAGGGTAGTTAAGGTAATCAACTAGTGTGTCTCGGGTTTTCCTAATTTCTTAATGTTTCTTTTGCAAGGTGAGTGGTACGGAGATGAGAAAATGGATGGACGAGCTTTGCCCAATCATTCTGGACATGCTACAAGACTCGGCGTCACTCCGCAAGAGAGAGGTAAGAGCCTTCACTTTTTGTCCTGCGTTAGTATTGCCAAAGCTAATTTGGGCAATTCCACCGTAACTCATGTTACATTTATATGCCATGAGGCTACTTTGACCTCTCACTGCTTCAAAGTATTTGATCAAGCTGAATCCAACCAGCCATACAACAACCTAGGGGTAAGGGGTACTCAAGAATGGAAAGAAAAATTCAATCCATTCTTTCAGTTTTTGAAAACATGTGTTTTGTTGGTCGTCACTCACGTTACAAAAAAGGACATAGAAAATTGTCCTGCAATTTTGTTCTTTAGGTCTCCTCAAACTGTAGTCTGCAACACAGAAGTAACATTACTTTACCTTTCATTTAACCCATAGCTGTATATAAAAACCCCATTTGGAATCAAATAAGTGTGTATTTTAGATGCAAGGGACATTATATTACAGGGAGGTACCGTCACTCACGTTACGTCACTCACGTTACTTCCTCTTCATGGTTTCTAACACGGCATAAAATCTGAGTCTGATGAACTGCAACATAATGAAACCCTTTTCTTATAATATGTGAACCTTTGTCTCTGCCTTAAACACAAAAACTTTCAATAAGGCCAACAAAAAAATACTTGGTCTCTGGTCAGCGCGCGCGTCGATTTTAATCATGCACGTCAACCTTTTTTTTTTTTTCAAATTAACACGGAAGCTACAACAGCGCCCTCTATTGCCGCACCTCCTCAAATTGTTGTACCAAGGAGCACCAAGGAATGGGGAAATTGCACCAAGGCAAATGATTAAGGGCACCAAGGCAAATTATGGAGGACACCAATGTATAATGAGAACACAAAAAAGCAAAAAAGGACCCACCTTGTCTGTACAATACAAGCTTGAAAAAAAAAAAAAGCCACCAAAAAAACCAAAAAAAACGCGTCGCCACATCAATTCCGGAACTTCGGTCTGACCAGAGACCGACTATTTTTTCTTTTGGCCTAACAGTTACATTTTGCATGTTAAAAGAAGGTTCCACAATGACTACTAAAAAATCCATGATTTTAGCCCCCCCCCCAAAAGTTTTTGTACCACAACTCACACTTAACTACATTCCATCTCATTGGCACACCGCTCAAATGAAAGATCTTGTTGTCCCCTTTAATTTGACACCACATGTGATGTGATGCTTGTAGTTTGGAAGATTTCACACAGTCGCCACTTTCCAGCCGTGTCAACTTTTGCGTGGAATTGCCCGTGTGCATAGCTTGTGAGTTGAACTGGGACTGGACTTCCAGGGACTTGTAATGGACTCGACTTGTGTTTCGCTCGTACACCCCCCCCCCCCTCCTCCGCCCTGCAAACAGGACACTGGTCAGGGCGGACGTCATGTGCGCTCTCATTGGATAGATTTGCGTGACCTGTGACGTAGAACGCGTCACACAAACTAGCTTCCGGTGCCCATCATGCGTAGCGCGCGCTAGCTGCACGCGAAGGTCAATCTGTACTTCCTTCACAAGATTCTGTGAAGCTCATCAGCCCTTACCAGCGCCCTGTTTGCAGGGCGGGGGGACGAGCGAACCCTCATGTAAACTGTGTGTGAACTGACCCTGGTTATTAACTTCCCAACCCCATAGGTTGCTCTCTGGACCCTGGGCCAGCTAGTGGAAAGCACAGGCTCGGTGGTGGATCCTTACAAGAAGTACTCCAACCTCCTGGACGTGCTTCTCAACTTCCTCAAGACGGAGCAGTCGGCTAACATCCGCAGAGAGGTAATCTTGTCAGGATGATGATGCTAACAATCCTAGCCCTCAATGACCCTCCAAAATCTATGAGGAAGTTGTGGAGGCTTTATTTTTTAGGGTTGAGGAAGGTAGAGCCCTGCAACTAAAAGTACAAGTTGAAGTACAAAGAAAGTGCCATTTGGTTCGTGGATGATCAAATGAATATAGGTGCATCATTTCCTCATCCATGACCTTTGTTGTTTTGTTAACCCGATTTTATTAATCCATCGGGGGCTTGGTCCTGCAGGCCTGGTGTGACTAAATATTGATGGAGTATGATAGACTTGGGCCTGAGGCCTGAAGCAGCGCTAGGGGTATCCGATTGATTTTGCCTAGCTTCCTGTACTGCTATTGTGATAAAAGCCATGTGTAGCAAGTCTATCAATGTCAACCAGTGCATCAGTGGTGGATTCCATTATGTCATGTACAGTTTTGTATTGGAAGCACATTGATTGATGGATTTTGATGGAATTGGTCCAGTTCTTAGTAAAAGACGCTAGGGAGTTAGGGTTGATATCAAGTGAAAATCTTCACACACAGTATATAAAACAAAAAAAGATGAAAGTCACTAATCGTTGCTTCCAATGATGGGTGAAATATTGGGCCGTATTTTGCAGGTAGGCATTCGTGCAACTGAGGGAAAATTTTGGGAGCTTTATTTCTTTTGGAAGATAACCCATTGCAGTTTTGTTTTCAAAGATTTCCCAATATTGTCAGCAGGTAAAATCAATTTCAAGTGAACTTGTTTTTGTTTATATATGTTGTTACTCATGTTCCATCACATAGGGCAAAATATGGGGATGGGCAATTCAAGACGCACAATATCGGTTACTCACATTACCAAAACGTAACGTGAGTAACCGATTTTGTGCGTCATGTTTATCATACATAACACATTTTTCTGGATGTCATCTTTGGTGCTTAGGTAGGTCTAGGTCTACTCTATGTACCATGGGGATAACAGTTATTAAACCTTTTCAGTAAGGTAATTACAGCCCAAGGAAACTCAAAAGTACATCAAAAATGTAACGTGAGTAACCTGGGAATTGCCCGGATGGCTTTGAATGATTTCTTGAAGAAATTTTTAACAAATTAAAAAAAAATAGGTCATAGTTTGGTTACATTTTAAAAACATTTCTACAATTGTTTCCTTCCAAAAGAGTCAATTATTTTATTTTGACATTTGAAAGAGCAGTGAAAATGAAGGGTTTGCAGAACCCCTGTTGTACCTTTTGCCTTTTTTTCCCCCTACCTGCAGGTGCCACACATTATTCACCTGTTTAAGATATCTTTTCCACTGTATCCATTAGTTGGTGTATTCTTGACCTTATCTCTCTCCTGTAGACCATCCGAGTTCTGGGCTTACTGGGTGCCTTGGACCCGTACAAACACAAAGTCAACCAGGGCTTTGTGGACAGTCACGGGGAGGGTGGAGCCGCGCTGAGCATGTCAGATGTCAAGATAGGAACGGAAGGTCAGTCAGTGAATTTTATTTCTAGATCCCTGTGGTTTTCAGACATTTGTGACCTGTTCTGTCAAACTCAGACTTTTCTGGGCATAAGGTCAAAAATGAGATTTTCGCATATTGTTAAAATATGTTCTTTTTCCTTTTAAGAGGTGGTTAAATTTTTGAAACCGGTCATTCCTGGGCAGAGTTATGCTATTTTGAAGTTCATTGTGTCGAAAAGTAGAAAATGGAGAAAATGGCCACGAACGTCACAAAACAGTAATTTCTTTAACTGATATATTTTAACAAATCATCAAAAATACTATATTTAGAGTTCAAATTAGGGTTTCAAACTTTTATAGTATATTTTAGACATATTCAGGATTACAAATATTCAAAATTTTGAAAACCAAAAAAAATCACCCCACAGCGTTTCTTGGCCCTATCTCAATTTCAACCTCTGCCCAGAAGCATCTGCTTTTGACAGAACAGGTCACATTTTATAAAGGATTGAAAAACTTCAGTCGGTTCAACATACCGATATTTTTTTGAGATGTGATATGGTTGTTCAAACACGGATTTGCATCGTTGTCGATTCCGAAGAACTTAGAACCGTTTACTTGGTTTAAAACGATATCATTGAATAAGTGTCTCAGTACAGTTTTGCTTATGTTGCCGTGAACTAAAATTAATGTAGTCAATCTGAAGAAAATTAAAAAAATTAGTCGGAAGATTGATAGGGAAACTTGTTAAAACAGCCAATTGCTTATTTTCCTAAGCTCTATGTTCAAGTTATTTCTAGCAGCGTTCTTACATGTATGTATGTGTTTGCACAATTGCACAACAGTTTTGTATCATGTGCAAAACAAGTAAAACAAGCCCCCAGCTTCCGAGATCTGATCGAGCTTTTTGTTGTTGTATTTCTTGCTCATTAGGGGAGTACACCGCCAGCGAGATGCTAGTCAACATGGGCAGCGCCACCCTGGAGGAGTTCTACCCGGCCGTCGCCATAGCGACCCTGATGCGCATCATGCGTGACTCCTCATTGGCCAATCACCACACGGGCGTGGTCCAGGGCATCACCTTCATCTTCAAGAGCCTCGGTGTCAAGTGCGTCCAGTTTCTGCCGCAGATCATGCCCACCTACCTGAACGTCATCCGCACCTGTGACGCTGGCATCCGTGAGGTGAGTTACTCTTCAAACTAAAATAGCTACAGAACAAAGCTTGGACTATATTTGAATAACCCTAACCCTGCCAGACGCAGCACGGTGTAAAACTCTTGCGGACCTTGCTGCATTTTAACACCAGTGCATCAACAGCCGATTCTGAGACAATGAGAGCTAGTCCCATTGAACAATGCCATAGTTGTGTCCTGCTGCTGTTTGGTGACCAAAGACTCTGGGGCAGTTTGGCTTTGAGAACTTAATAAAATTCAAACTGAATTTTGAAAAAGCCGGATTTTAATCCCACCACAAGGCCAGATGTGTGCAAAATGTCTTTAAAATAAAGGTGACAGAAACAACTTGATAAGATCTGCTTTATATGGATGATTGTTTAAATTTCCTGTGGTCTTTGTATCGAGATGAGGTGAAACTTGTGCTTACTAGTCATCCAGGAAAGCCCTTGAGGCGCTGCCTGTTTGCAGTGTTCCTATCCACCACGTGCCTTATTGTATATTGATGACATACATGTAATAGTCCAGCCAGAACAGTACCTGATAATACCAAATGCCGTCATATTTTTTTTTCATTACAGTTCCTTTTCCAGCAGTTGGGTATCATGATCTGCATCGTCAAGCAGCACATCCGTAACTACCTGGACGACATCTTTGATCTTGTCCGAGTAAGTTTTTGCCTTATCTCATCTAAAATGCTGTAAACCAACCTTCGGAGGGGGGGGGGGGGGGGATGCCATTTGCGGGGCGTTGGCACTTGCAAGCCCTGAGGGTCATTTCTATCTAATAATTATAATAAAACAGGAGTCTTATATAGCGCACGTATCTACAAACAATTAGGTACTGAAGGCGCTGGAAATTATGTCTGTTATTAAAGACAGGTAAATGAAGTTTATGAGAAATGTGAGACCCATTATGTAGCACCTTATAAGGGTATACAAGGTGCTGCAGCGCATATTGCAGCCACTGCCAGAAACACCGCGGCAAACCCCTTCTCTTAGCGATGTGTTACTGGGTTCTTTAACGTGCATTACACAACACACGGGACCTACGGCTTTACGTCCCATCCGAAGGACGAAGCACTAATGGTAAAGTGCCTTGCTCAAGAGCACAAGCACCATGTTCCCACGTTCAGGTTTCGAACCCATGTACCACGGCACACGAGTTGAACACCGTCACAATTGGACCACAGCACCCTTGTGCAACACCACAGCTGTCTTGTGCAAATCAGGGGGGATAAGAATATGAAAAAGTCTTTTGAGGACAATCAAGATACCTGGACTAATTCATCGACAGCCATTTTCTAAGGTAGCACCAGGCTTGCACGAGTCGTGCTCAGGTAGTACGCACGCACTCCGTGCTCCTTCGACCAATAGAGTTATCAAAATGCACACACGCCTTGCCTTTAAAGAGGTTGTGGAATGCTCGAAGACATTTTTGTCATTTTTTGGGTATATGCAGCCTAAGGTGTGATCAAATAAAAACGACTATTGTGTCTGTCTTGAAATGAGTACAAAAGGTACTTTTGAGAGCTGTTTTTCAGGTCCTGTTTCGACCCGAACGTGCAATTTGTGTAAAAGTCGTCGTTGGGGGCAGCAAACAAAACATAGTAAATCGTGACGTAATAAACAGGACTCCCGATGCAGCGTAGTATAAACGAGTCCTGTTTATTACGTCACGATTTACTATGTTTTGTTTGCTGGGGTATACCTGGGGTACATCTCTGCGGAGTCCATCATACATGAACTTCTGAAATACATGAAAGTCACCCGAACAGACCTCACCCAATGGCATTTCACAATCCAACGGACTCCGTGCACAAGAGTACCCACTCAACGGTTACAAACAGGGTTGGGGGAAACCCCTGAAAACGGACATTAGAATGCATCACCGATGATGCCACACGCTCACTGATGCGAAGACGCCTCTTGGTTGTGCATATTGGGAATAAAATAAGTCATGTATGTTTCATTTTGGAAGTACGCAGACCAATGCGCACATCCGATGTTTCCCTCCGACTGAGCTTGTGAAAGTGATCATTAAAAAAAAAGGCATCTACGGTTGGTGCACGGAGTCCCTATCGTGCTGTAATATTGCAAGATGTCTTCATTTTTCTGTTGTATCTCGTCAGGATTTCTGGACAGTGAACAGCCCGCTACAGAACACAGTGATCCTGCTGGTGGAGCAGACTGTGGTGGCCCTGGGCGGTGAATTCAAGCTGTACCTGCCGCGTATCGTGCCTCAGATGCTGCGCGTCTTCATGCACGATAACAGCCAGGGACGCGTTGTCACAACCAAGGTAAGGGGGTTCAGCCTCCGACGAAAATCGGAAATATTAAAAAAAAAACGCCCACAAATGCCACTGTTGATGACCCCTCCCCCCCAAAAAAAGTAGTAGTCACAAGCTTTTGATTCACTTTTAAACTGCAATCCCGGGGTCTTGTCCAAAAATTGAGAAAGGAATCACCTTACATTTTAACCGTATATTTCGTACATAGGCCTACGTACGCTGCGCCTTAGTCCTTGATCCATTCATGGAGGCAGTTCTCCATGCATGATCCATGCTCGACCCTGGATTAAGTACTGCGCATTCGTGCACTGGTTCCCGTTGCCCAAAATATCTTAGGCAGAACGGACAGAAATAAGCTGCACTAGTGGGCCGTGATGCGGATGTCATCGTCCGATCAAACATCCGATCAAGAATCATTTGGAACAAGTTAAAAAAATCACATTTTTTGCTGAGTCTGCGAACTTATTTCTGATTTCATATGCAAATTTGTATGTGATTTTGAAGGTTTTAACGTTTGCGTTCATGCCAGTCAATATGGCATTTCATGCTGTGCGTATGCTAGGCATGCTGTGCGTATGCTAGGCTAATTCTGCATTTACGCCATGTCAGAATACCATGTCAAAATGCTGCACCATTATGGGCACGCTGTGTAAAGGGCGCCCCCACACGTTTTTTTTTTTTTTTTCGCACTCACCACCCATCCCGTGGACCAAAAAAAATCCTGAATAAACTTAACTGCCCTGAATCCTTCAAAATCCTCTTTGCCAAAGTGGAAAAATTTGAAGGATTGAGGTTACATGGAAAAGTGCGTTACTCGTTTCGTAGGATGCACTTTGTCAAGGTCTTGGGCCAGACCTTGTGTTGTTTTTCCTCAGCCATGCATAAATATAGGCCTGGATTATGCTTGAAATCCTCCGTACTGCTCCAGGATGTCACTGGCCAAGCCTCAACATATTGAAAGTCACTGCTGCAGGATTTTGCAGGGTTCAGGCAGTGGTCACCCACCCCTCCATGGACCATATTCAAGAAATAATGGAGGAATTTGCAGGATTGAGGCTATATGCTATTTTTCCATGAGGCCAATTGGAGGATTTTGCAGGATTGAGGCTACATCCTAGCAAAAAGGCCTAGGGAGTTAGGGTTAATCCAAATTTTTTTTTTAAATATGGCCAAAAAAATGTGTTTTTTTTTTTTTTTTTGCAGCTCCTGAATGCTATGCAGAAGTTTGGTGCCAATCTGGATGACTACCTGCATCTGCTACTACCACCGGTGGTCAAACTCTTTGACTCTAATGACATCCCCATGACTGTCAGGAGGTGAGCATGCATGTGCCATGTGATGATCATGTGACGATCATGTGATCCCCATGCAGCAATCATGTGCCAATTACATGTGTATGGGTATCATACTAACATGTAATGAGTGATTAACATAATGTCAAGTAAGATTTGAGGCTTTGCATGGTGGAGATACTAAATAATGAAAGGTTTGCGGAAAAACGTCGAGTTTATACCTCTGGTTCTTTTCAGAACCATTCTCTTAGTTGAGAAATTATTCGCACCTGGTGTTTCCGCAAACCTTTCATTATTTAACATAATGTCAATACAGTTATTTTAACTATGTTCGTGGTGTGCAGGCATTAGTGTTGGTCATGTGCTCCCCATTTACAAATCATGTGCTGACCATGTGAAAAATCATGAAACAGCATAGCCTTGACCAAGCCTGTCAAGCCAAGCTTTTTTCTTGAACAAACGGTCTGGCAGCTGTTTTACCCTACTTGTCACAGTACGTTGTCACGGCACACGTACGCCGCGCAGCCCCCTGGCCAGCTCCGCTTTGCCCGTGCGATACGCCCCAGACACAAATCCGCACTGTACACGGACGTACAGTATAACATACAGTAACTGTGCCGTGGGAGTCACGTGGATAATGACCATTGCCGTCGACTCCGGGCATTATCAGCTTCCAGGCCCCTAACCGGCCAAGCACATATTTATTCCCTTATTAAAGACTCAAGAATCACAGTTTTTGTTACTCTCAAGTAAAGATAGGTGAAAATAACTACAAGCTGCAAGTGGTTAGAAGTGAAGTTTTACAGAATGGCCAAACTTTATAATTTTTTTTTTTTTTTCAAAATTTTGTTCAGAACTGCTCTTGAGACCATAGACCTGCTATGCGGCACCTTAGACTTCACGGACTTTGCTTCCCGCATCATCCACCCGTTGGTCCGCACCCTGGACACCACCCCGGAGCTGCGCTCCATCGCCATGGACACCCTGGAGTCCCTGGTCCTGCAGCTGGGCAAGAAGTACCACATCTTTGTGCCCATGGTCAACAAGGTGCTGGTCAAGCATCGCATCGTCCACCAGAAGTACGAGACCCTGGTGCTCAAGATCATCAAGGTGGGTTCGAATCCAGCTCGGGGAATCGTGCACTTGTTTACAATCAAATTTTTACCAATGTGTTTTTCTTCATATTTTTGGCCCAATATAGTGTTACTTTTTGATTTGCTATGACATCCAGGAAATTGTGAAAATATGGCACTAAATACTTTAACAGTACCAGTTATGTCACATTCTGAATTGGTTTTCCAGAATTTTTTTCTAGAAAATCCCCCCTCCAAAAATAGAAAAAATGTTAAAAAATTGCTGTTTATATTTACCAGGTTTTGTCATGCTGTGGCAACAAAGGAACATTTGCCTTTTGATAGAATTGTGCATTGAAAGATATAATTTTTTTTATATTCTTCTGTGCCTTTCACTCGTGTTTTATTCGAGTCAAATCACAAGTCCTTTCACGAGTCCTTTTATAAAGTCAGTCACAAATAACTGGATGAACAATGACAAAGGGATGTTTTTGTAACAGTTCATTTGAATAGCTAGTGACTTGACTTGAGACTGAAGGACTTGGGAAGGACTTGTGATGGACTTGTGATGGACTTGTGAAGGACTTGTGATGGACTTGTGATGGACTCGTGATGGACTTGTGATGGACTTGTGATGGACTTGCGATGAACTTGCGATGGACTTGCGATGGACTTGTGATGGACTTGCGACGGACTTGCGACGGACTTGCGACGGACTTGCGATGGACTTGCGATGGACTTGCGATGGACTGGTGATGGACTTGTGATGGACTTGTGATGGACTTGTGATTGACTGGTGATGGACTTGTGATGGACTTGTGATGGACTTGCGATGGACTTGAATCAATAATGGATTTTTTTAATTCGATAAAGGTTTTCATAAGCAGTGTTCAATAAGTAGAACTGAACTGTTGACATTTTTTGTTTTGGACGTAGGGAAACTCCATTGCAGAGGATGAGTTGCTCCTACTGCGCACCAGGGCCAAGAAGGCCAACCAGAAGGACGACGGTAACGCCGGCATGGAACCTGTCAGTCTCAAGAAACTCCACGTCAAGACTAACAATCTCACCAAGGTACTCAGTCACATGTTTACTTAATAGTTTTGAGCCAAGAGCCATTGATTTGTCATTTACTGTTTAACCTTAATCCTGACAGATGTAACACACTGCACCAGTTCTAAAAAGTCTATGGACCTTGCTTCATTGAGCCATCACCACCAATGCATTAACCCTCCTATGCAAACATACATTCTGTGCCAAGTTGTCCTTGCATTCCAAAATCAATCAAGTGACTGTTTTCAACCCTTAAGATTTCCCAGCCCACATAAAGCAGGATTGACTGCCTTGGACTGATTAAGTAACTTGATACAGCTATGCTTTGACCCCGGGTGAGTGATAAAACAGCTGTGACCACAACTTGCCTGCTTTGTCTGTTGACCCAGTTTGACTAGCCACAGTGCTTGCTTGACATATGATCTGACTGCTGGTGACTAGCCTTTGTTAAAAGTATAGCATGGGGAAGTGGAAGTGAATTTTGATTGTCCCTGACTGCTTAAATAGCAGGATGGTTAACCGCCAGTTTTGAGAATTCTGAGCTAGTACCTGTGAACAATGCCACTGTTGTATCTTTTGCAGCCAGGCTCGGAGACTGTTTGTGACCTGTTCTGTCAAAATCAGACTTTTCTGGGCATAAGGTCAAAAATGAGATTTTGCATATTGTTGAAATATGTTCTGTTTCCTTTTAATAGGTGGTTTAATTTTTGAAACCGGTCATTCCAGGGCAGAGTTATGCTATTTTTGAAGTTCATTGTGTTGAAAAGTAGAAAACGGAGAAAATGGCCACGAACGTCACAAAACAGACATTTCTTTAACTGAAATACCTTTACAAATCATCAAAAATACTATATTTAGAGTTCAAATTAGGGTTTCAAACTTTTATAGCATATTTTAGACATGTTCAGGATTACAAAGATGTAAAAATTTGAAAATTGAAAAAAATCACCCCCACAGTGTGTTTTGGCCATATCTCAATTTCAACCTCTGCCCAGAAGCGTCTGCTTTTGACAGAACAGGTCACGTTTGTCCATCAGATTTCTGACCTGCTACACTGGGCAGGATTCGTTTCGGCAAGTGTTGCATGTTGTTACATTTAGCAGGGTGTGCAGCCAAAAAAACCTCAATCCCAGAGTTGGATGTAGTTGGAAAATTCATCAGTATATTTTTATCTTTTTGTGTGAATGCTGGTACTAGATTGACATTTCAGGTATAAGTAGAATATGCAGGAGCATGTGTGATTCATGTGCTTGTACTACTAATATGTGAAGCCCATATAGGCAAGAGAAGTTGCTTCCTATTGATCAATAACCAATAATTGATGAATGAATTGATTACAGGCATGGGCCGTGACCCGCCGTGTCTCCCGCGATGACTCAGTGGAGTGGCTTTATACTGATCAATAACCAATAATTGATGAATGAATTGATTGCAGGCATGGGTTGTGACCCGCCGTGTCTCCCGCGATGACTCGGTGGAGTGGCTTTTTACTGATCAATAACCAATAATTGATGAATGAATTGATTACAGGCATGGGCCGTGACCCGCCGTGTCTCCCGCGATGACTGTGTGGAGTGGCTTTTTACTGATCAATAATCAATTATTGATGAATGAATTGATTACAGGCGTGGGCCGTGACCCGCCGTGTCTCCCGCGATGACTGGGTGGAGTGGCTTTATACTGATCAATAACCAATAATTGATGAATGAATTGATTACAGGCATGGGCCGTGACCCGCCGTGTCTCCCGCGATGACTCGGTGGAGTGGCTTTTTACTGATCAATAACCAATAATTGATGAATGAATTGATTACAGGCATGGGCCGTGACCCGTCGTGTCTCCCGCGATGACTGGGTGGAGTGGCTTTTTACTGATCAATAATCAATAATTGATGAATGAATTGATTACAGGCATGGGCCATGACCCGCCGTGTCTCCCGCGATGACTGGGTGGAGTGGCTTTTACTGATCAATAACCAATAATTGATGAATGAATTGATTACAGGCATGGGCCGTGACCCGCCGTGTCTCCCGCGATGGCTCGGTGGAGTGGCTTTTTACTGATCAATAACCAATAATTGATGAATGAATTGATTACAGGCATGGGCAGTGACCCGCCGTGTCTCCCGCGATGGCTCGGTGGAGTGGCTTTTTACTGATCAATAACCAATAATTGATGAATGAATTGATTACAGGCATGGGCCGTGACCCGCCGTGTCTCCCGCGATGACTGGGTGGAGTGGCTTTTACTGATCAATAACCAATAATTGATGAATGAATTGATTACAGGCATGGGCCATGACCCGCCGTGTCTCCCGCGATGACTGGGTGGAGTGGCTTTTACTGATCAATAACCAATAATTGATGAATGAATTGATTACAGGCATGGGCCGTGACCCGCCGTGTCTCCCGCGATGGCTCGGTGGAGTGGCTTTTACTGATCAATAACCAATAATTGATGAATGAGTTGATTACAGGCATGGGCCGTGACCCGCCGTGTCTCCCGCGATGACTGCGTGGAGTGGCTTTTCACTGATCAATAATCAATAATTGATGAATGAATTGATTACAGGCATGGGCCGTGACTCGCCGTGTCTCCCGCGATGACTGGGTGGAGTGGCTACGTCGTCTGAGCGTTGAGCTTCTCAAGGAATCGCCCTCCCACGCCCTGAGATCCTGCTGGGCCCTGGCCCAAGCCTACAACACGCTGGCAAGGTAATAACCAAACCCATCCAAGCCATCCTTCCGTCAGTCCTTAAAGGGAAAATACAACATTTGCAAACATCAAAAAATAAAGTTACTAAATCATTTTGAAATACCTTGCTAAACTGTTAGTGAAGGACCGTCTAAATCATCCTGTAAAAGCATGGCACCTGGTGTGCTGTCATTTTCAAGAAAAGTGGTATTTTCGTATCAATATCCAACGCTGGTAGGCCGACCAGTGTTGGAAAAAACTGCCTTTTTTTTAATACTGGCCCCAATTGACCATATTTAGTTAGTCCGGTTCTGTTTGCAATCGATTACACACCTATGAACGGGTACAAGCAAGCTAGACTGGTTCCCTGACCTTACAATTCCCCAACGTCTATAAATTGCTCCGTTTCATTTTAAATGGAGTCTGGGAACCAGACAACAGGAAAATGACTGTTTTTCTTCGTTTTTATAGCATCTACGAACCCAAAACTTCAAAAAAGTTGGTGTAACAATATTTACTATATACAAGCAACCCCCCAAATCCATCCATTTCTGAAAATTACAGCAAAAGCAAATGATGTATATTCCCTTTAAAAGGCATATAGGATCATTTGCATTTATCCCAAAAGTAACCTACTGAACGTATCAAAAAGCTTACTTGAATTAAAGATTGTACTGGCACTAAACCCCCCTTGAAATGTTTCCAACTGGCTTGCTGTCATTTCGAAGAAGTCAAGAAATGTAGGTGATCTCCAACGATCAGTCAATTGACTGAGTTTTTCGGAAATAAAGAGTGCTATAGAATGATCCAGCCAACAAAATAAGAAACCATTTTTTGAGGTGGAACACATCCTTACGCACGCGCAAGCATTCTTAAGACAAGACACGCGCACATTTTGTTAACTCTATTGGTCGAAGGAGTCCGATATGCGTGCGTACTACCTGAGCACGACGCGAGGACTTGCCCAAGCCCCATATTGAGTTTTTGGTTTTTGGTTTTTTTTGTTGACTGTATACTCGAAGCTTTCCAAGGGCTTGCATGAAAAAAATCACAGGCATATTCAGGTTGACTCTAACCCAGAACCTCCTGCTCACCAATGCAAATTCTCTCACTCGATCACCAAGTATGCCGGGTCAATGTGATATAGCAGCCAAAACTGCCACTACCTTGTGTCGGCGAAGGGCAAAAACAAACCTATAAAAGTTAATACCGTGATCTTTCTCTTCCCGTTTCAGAGATCTATTCAATGCCGCCTTCGTCTCGTGCTGGTCGGAGCTGACTGAGACGGATCAGGACAGCCTGATTCAGAGCCTGCAGAAGGCCCTGACTTCACAGGACATCCCGGAGATTGTACAGATCCTACTGAATCTTGCCGAGTTCATGGAGCACTCAGACAAGGTAAGAACAGGGTTCCCGAAGTCATGGGAAAATCTTGGAAAAATCCTGAAATTTTCAGCAATCTTGGAAAGTCATGGAATTTTGTTATTTTTAAAAGGAGTCATGGAAAGTTGACATTCCAAGGGAAAAGTCATGGAATCCTGCTCAACCCATACGTGATGATGGGTAATATTATACAAATATTGAGTGGCTCAGCGTGGAATGGGAGGAATATTATCGCAAGGTAAAATCTGGACTTTTCCATTTCATGAGGCAAAGCCGAGTGAATTCAAAAAGTCCAGATTTTACCGAGCAATAATATTCCTCCCTTTTCACAATTTAAAGCCGCTCAATATTTGTTTTATATAACTGACATATAGATCCTTGTCATTTGATATATTTGAACTTTTATTTCAATAAAAACTGGAGGAAAATGTATTTCTCTCTTCCAAAAACCCCACTCTGTAGCGCTGGCTCTTTGGAACAAAGCTTGGTGGGGCACCAGGTTCTTTTTACAGGTTGGAGAACACTGGGTAAACTGTCTCATACAGGTATTTATGAATATGAATTGAGTCGGTAAATGCCGTCTGTTATGTCACCCCAGGGCCCATTACCACTGAACACCATGCTACTCGGTGAGTGTGCCTCTAAGTGCAGAGCCTACGCCAAGGCACTACACTACAAGGAGGAGGAGTTCCACCGAGGACCAAACACTGAAATACTGGAGGCTCTCATCAGGTAAAAATAACAGTCTCTTAAAGCTATAGTCCATCATTTGTAATTAGTGCATTTTGTTCGTTTGAAGCAACAAAAGTGTTCAAAATCTAATGAAGGATACTGAACAGCTTACTTGATGAAGTTTCAGCTCAGCTTCAGCTGTATATTCCGAGAAAAAAAGCATTCTAGGATCTCAATTTCAAATCAAAAGTTGCTAAATCATGTTTCGAATTGTTTTGAATTGCAGCTCTACGCGATGTCGCGCACTGATCCGACGAATTATAGCAACCGCGCGCGCCTGTGTGTCGTTCCAATGCTTGTGCGCGCTGCGCCGAATAACAAAACGAATTACTAATTTAGATTTTCCAACGGTGCTTCTTAAGACGCACCGTTGGAAATGCCTTCTTTCGTTGATTTCTTCAAAATGAGAGCTTGCCAGAAAGAATAATTTCACAGGGAGTTTCAACCAGTATGTTTTTCAACAATAATTACGCCAGTTACTTTTTTGGATAGCTGCAAATGATGGACTCGGGCTTTAAGTTTTTGTTTTCTACGTACGGTTTGAAATCCAACACCTTGATGGATTTGAGATTATTGTTATTAAAGGGCCCATGCAATGTAATTAATGCAATCCTTTACCCTAACCATCCCAAATTCTCCAAAATCCTCTTTGCTAATTTGAGGAATTTAAGGATTGAGGTTACATGGCAAAAGTGCGTTGCTGATTTCGGAGGACGCACTGTGTCAAGGTCTTGGGCCAGACCTTGTGTTGTTTATGCTCAACCTAGCATAAATTTAGGCCTATCTTATACTTGAAATCCTCCGTACTGCTCCAGGATGTCACTGGCCAAGCCTGAACACATTGACAGTCACTGCCGCAGGATTTTGCAGGATTCAGGCAGTGGTCACCCCTCCACAGACCACATTCAAGAAATTATGGAGGAATTTGCAGGATTGAGGCTATATGCTATTTTTGCATGAAGCCAATTGGAGGATTTTGCAGGATTGAGGCTACATCCTAGCAAAAAAGGCCTAGGGAGTAATAGGGTTAATGCAATCCTTAAAATACACATTAGGCCAAAAAAAAAAGTCTCCGGTTTCTGGTATACGCGCGCATCGCCGTAGCCATGCGCGTCGGCAAAATGAAAAAGTTTTTTTTTCAATGAAAGATGATGTCTCAAAACCGCCAAACTCACTGGTTTGACTGGAATTCTGCTGCTGCACAATTTTAACGTGTTTTTTAGATGGGGTTATGATCGAGAATAAGCTTAATGTAGCCTCTCTGAACCCCCATATATTTGCACTAAGTTTAGTCGGGCACCATTTGCAGTCATCAGTCGACATTTGAAGCAAAAAAGTCAGGTAAAAACAAAAAAAAAGCCGCGTCGCCGCACCACTTTTTGGACAAGCTCCATACCAGAAACCGGAGACTTTTTATTTTGGCCTTATGTACCCTATTTAACCCTATTTTCAATTTTCGTTTTGCCAATTTCAAACGGTTTTTGGAGCTTTTTTGGTTTTTATGCTAATGTGAATTTCCACATTCATGAGCTAAAGTGTGATGTCATTTCAGGCAGAAATCTCAGTGTTACAGGTATTTCAGCAGCAAAAGTTGCCAGAATTTTGGGTATTTCAATGTCGTAATTGTTCTTTTCTTTGGTGATTTGTTGTTATGTCAGTACATGGCAGTAAGCCAATGAGCATGCTTTTCTCACAAACGTTTTCAATGAGCAACTGTTGGGTTCACAATTTGAACAGAAAATCCCTAAACTGAACAGTGTCTTCCTGAAATGACATCACAACAACAGCGCCCTCAGTTGTCCGGAAAGGCATGGAAACTTGTTAAAATGTTTAAAGAAGTGCACTTTTCAATAAAATTAACCAAAAAAGGATGTCAAATAGTGTTCACACATTTAAGAGGAGTGGAAAATTGCACAAAATGTGTTCCTCAGAAAAAAGGCATCGCATGGACCTTTTGAAGTGATATTATCTCTGTTGATGACTGTTTTCGTTTTGGTTCCTTCAGCATTAACAACAAGCTACATCAGCCAGAGGCAGCCTATGGAGTCCTGCAATATGCCATGAAGAACTACCGCGCTGAATTGGTAGGTCCAATAGAACCTGATAAATATAACAAATCAACAAATCTACAATGAGACGTTCTGACTTAATTCTTTCAGTGCCCGCGAAATTTGAAAAGTCTAACCCTAAAGTGCCCAACTTCGAGCATTTTTTTTAATTGTTCAAAATTCTGTAAAAAAAAAAAAAGAAGTAAATAAGTTTCACTCACTAAATTTGTTGTTGTTGCTCTCTGGTATATCCTTGGTACATTGGAAAGTCAATAGTAGTCACGTACATAGTGATACACCCTAAAACACTGTCCTGCACACAGGGGAATTCCGCACTTTTTGCAGAAAATACGAGTGTCAGTGCTGCGCCCTCTCGCAAGAACTCGAATGAAACAAAATAAATACGGGTCGTACCTGAATGAAAATGGTATTATTAGAAAGAGTGAGAGCGCCCCCTTGTGATAACATGCTTACTCTACCTCGTACATTACGAGGTTTGGCGATTTTAAGTACGAACATTACCTCGTACATGTATGAGGTTGGCAATTTCGACCTAACAAATATACCTCGTACATGTACGACTTTGGCACTGAAAGAGTTAATTACAAAACTGAAAAACAAAACCTACAGCAACTTGTCCATGAGTGAGCCGTGATAATACTTCCAAATTTATATTATGTTTTGTGATTTTACAGATCATGAAGGTTTGCCCTCAATTGACTGATCTTTGCAGATATGTATAGGGTGTCTCTAAAAAAGTAGCTGTCAATCAGCCTTTTTTTTTGAGGAACCTAAAAAAAGTACCTTGAGATGATAGAGTGTTTCGTTACCCTTGACATGATTTTTGTTCTGTGTGATTTGCACCTTTTGTTTCAAAGTTACGGCAAAGCTTGTACAGTTCAAATTAGGTTTTGCCCTTCACCAACGTTTAAACACTGTATACTCAGTGTGTTACCTCCCGAGTGAAAGCTGGAAAAAATCACTCGGGTGGGACTCGAACCCACGACCTCCTGCTTTCTAGTGCAGATGTCTTACCACTCGACCACCGAGCTAACGGGATCGGTTGGCTGGTTCGAATCTGATGTACATAGCAGCGGGTACCGCATAAACTATTATAAGATGGAATTTTGCGTCGGGTGATATAAATCAAATTAGGTTTTGCCCTTCACCAACGTTTAAACACTGTATACTCAGTGTGTTACCTCCCGAGTGAAAGCTGGAAAAAATCACTCGGGTGGGACTCGAACCCACGACCTCCTGCTTTCTAGTGCAGATGTCTTACAGGCTGTCAAAATCTGTTTGGGCCACTTTCTTCACCTTCTTGGTACGTGAATGCCTTTCATTAGATACCAAGTGGCCCAACTTGGAATTCAAGTCCTTTCATTTCATTAGCTGTATCTCTGGACCGGGGTGTCCAAATGAGATGGGATAAAGACCATTGTGTAGAGTATTTACTACACCTTCAGACTCTATAGATAAGTTTTGGAAAAGAGAGTACTAGTGTATTTATGGATTGACTGCTACATTTTTTTGAGTGACCCTGTAAATCGAATAAGATGGATGATTCGAATCACTGAACATCGAGTTTGAAAACATTCAGTTATCCGGATTACAAAATAGTCGGTTTCTCCCATCTCAGTCATATACTGTTTGTGTCTTTCTCTGTGGTATATTCAAGAAACTTCGAGACAGAAGCTCCACAACCTTCTTATATGCCCTGTGAATTGCTGCAGGCTTGTCGTTAAGCTGCAGCTATCCAATTATTAGATCTTTGAAATCAGATCTCCGAATATCCGAGCCTGAACATATTAAGTTATCGTGATTTCAAATTAAAAAAAAGTTTTCTCCCGACACTAGAGTATCCCTTCTTACATCTGTTGTTTGTTCCGCAGCAAATTCAAGAGACTTGGTACGAGAAGCTCCACGACTGGGACAACGCCCTCCTTGCCTACGAGAAGAAGCAGAAAGAGGACCCAGATGAATTCACACTGACCCTGGGCAGGATGCGCTGCATGGAGGCTCTCGGAGACTGGTAAATTCAGAGATTTATATAAATATTGGTTTATTTATTTGTGACTTCAGGGCAAAGCTTCCGGGCAAAGATTTGGTGCAAAGCTTCCGGGTAAGCGCGCAGGCAAAGCTTCTGGGCAAGCTTGCAGGCAAAACTTCTGGGCAAAGCTTCTGGGCTTAGCTTTTGGGCAAAGCTTTCAAGCAAGCTTCCGGGCAAAGCTTCCTAGGCAAAACTTCCGAGCAAAGCTTCCTGGCAAAGCTCCTAGGCAAAGCTTCTGGCCAAAGCTTCTGGGCAAAGCTTCTGGGCAAAGCTTCTGGGCAAAGCTTCCGGGCAAAGCTTCCTAGGCAAAGCTTCCTAGGCAAAGCTTCTGGGCAAAGCTTCTGGGCAAAGCTTCTGGGCAAAGCTTCTGGGCAAAGCTTCCGGGCAAAGCGTCTGGGCAAAGCTTCCTGGCAAAGCTTTCAGGCAAAGCTTCCTGGTAAAGCTTCCGGGCAAAGCTTCCGGGCAAAGCTCCTGGGCAAAGCTTCCGGGCAAAGCTTCCGAGCAAAGCTTCCTGGCAAAGCTTCCTGGCAAAGCGTTCAGCAAAGTTTTCGGGCAAAGCTTCCGGGTAAATATTCTGGGCAAAGCTTCCGGGCAAAGTTTGAGATGTAGATGATCAAAACAAAACATGAGGTGATTTCTTTTTCGATTCTCTGTCTTTTTTTCCCCTTCAAACTTTTGATTCTAAATATGTCTGAAAGTTTAAGAGCATATTTGCGCCTTTAAAGGCAAATATGATCACTTGCTTTTCATGCATTTTGTTCGTTTACAAAAGTAACACCACTCAAAACCCAAAGAAATTTCAGCTCAGTGGATGTTACACTTTTCGAGAAAACAGTAAAAAAAACCTTGCACAACCTTTTTTATCATGAACACAATTTCATCAATAGCACTGTTTATTCCGAAAAATCAGTTAATTGACCGATCGTTGTAAAGCACCTACAAGTCTTGATTTCTTCTAAATGTCAGAAAGGCATGAAATTATTCCGTCTGGCTCGCTGTCATTTAGGGGAAATCATGAAATATAGGTGATTTCCAACGATCAGTCAATTGAGTGATCTTTGGAAACATAGAGTTTTCGTGATCAAAAGGTTGTGCACGGTTTTTCATTGTTTTCTCAAAAAAATGTAATAGGCACTAAGCTGAAACTTCAACTGATAAGTTTTGAACATTCTTCTTTGGATTTCGAGTGGTGTTGTTATTGGAAACAAACAAAACGGATAAAAAGCAAATCATTGTATATGCCTTTAAAAGGCGAAATTATGATCTAAAAATTTTAAAGTTAAGTTTTTGAACATTCTTCTTTTGGATTTTGAATGGTGTTATTATTAGAAACAAAACAAAATGCATGACAAACAAATGATCCTATATGCCTTTAAGGAAACTAGCAATAAAGAAGATATCCACTGTCTGATTTCCAGGCGACAGCTGCATGACTTGGCCTGCGAGCGTTGGCCGATGGTGACAGATGAGGGCCGGCAGGCGATGGCGCGCATGGCCGCGGCGGCTGCCTGGGGCCTAGGCAACTGGGACAGCATGGAGGAGTACGCATGCCTGATACCCAGGGAGTCCTACGATGGAGCCTTCTACCGCGCGGTGCTGGCCGTTCATCAGGACCACTTTGGACAAGCCCAGCAGGTAGGTGGCTTTGAATATCTGTTGAAGACTGGGTCTGATTTGGTGGAAGTAAGAGGTAAAGGTAAAGGGGGACGAACCTGTATTCACAGGAACAGAGTGCCCAACTCTCCTTCGAAGCGATTGGGCCAGACTCATATGCTGCTGTGGGGGGATCACCACACCTCCTCCACAGCGAGTCTGTTACCTTCCCAGCATTGAATAATGCTGGTACCCATTTAACACCTGGGTTGAGAGGAGTAATTGAGGTAAAGCGCCTTACTCAAGGTGTGCGCAGTATGCGCTATGTACACCGCCTACCACCCACCAGCTTGAGAACCACTGATATGATTTCCATATAAGGCACGATGTTGAGCACATTGCATACTCATCACACGCCATAGAATTAGTGGCCTGATCTGAACACGGAGTGAAATGGTAGAACAGAATCATTGAAATTTTGTCAATGTTTCAACTTTTTACGTTTTTTTGATCGAAAGGGTATTTATGAATGGGGATAGTGGTATGATTGGGCCCTTATAAACGTGACATTTAAAACTGGATAGGGCCTACATGTAAGTAAGATTTGAGGCTTTGCATGGTGGAGATACTAAATAATGAAAGGTTTGCGGAAACTTAAGTGGCAAAAGCGAAATTGATTTCGCTTTTGCCACTTAAGTATTTTCTTTCTTAGAGTTTAGGCACTCTCCTGAAGACAATCAGAGCATACTGACCGGAACGTCGAGTTTATATCTCTAGTTCTTTTCAGAACCATTCTCTTAGTTGAGAAATTATTCGCACATGGTGTTTCCGCAAACCTTTCATTATTTGGATAGGGCTCTGTTTGCCTGGCCATTATCTGAGGCTAGGCCCCTACCCAGTTAAAAAATAACACATTTATAACTGCTCCATCACACCATATTATCCCCTTAATCCTCCTACTGTTTTAACAATCACAGACACTCAACTTTCCCCTGCCATGCCTTTAACACAGGCTAGTCACCAATAGTCAGATCATATTTCAAGCAAGCACTGTGGCTAGTCAAATTCAGTCAACAGACAAAAGCAGGCAAGTGGTAGGCAAAGCTGGCTTATCAATCACATACAGTCAAAGCACAGCTGCATCATGCTACATAAACAGTCAATCCTGCTTTATGTAGGCTGGGAGCTCTTTTAGGGTGGGAGCTCAGTTAAAACTGTTGAAAACAGTCACTTGACGTAAAGGACAACTTGGCATAAAATATTTTGTTGCATGGGAGGGTTAATCCAACACAGCTGTTTTTGTCCACCCTCTTTGGCAGTGCATTGACAAGGCGCGTGACATCCTGGACACGGAGCTGACGGCCATGGCCGGGGAGAGCTACGACCGTGCCTACGGCGCCATGGTGTCCGCTCAGATGCTGTCTGAGCTGGAGGAGATCATCCGCTACAAGCTGGTCTCGGAGAGACGGGACATCATCAAACAGATGTGGTGGGACAGACTCCAGGTCCGGGTTGAAATATATACTTCAAAGATTGTATTCTAATTTTCTTTTGAAATTTGCTTATTATCAATCTGCATTTCAGTACAATGCAGAACTTTGCATAAACAAGGTGAGTTAAAAACAAAGGAAACCCAAATGGCAGGACCAATTATTTAATGAAGTTCTACATGTAGCACTTTCAAAATCTAGGATATGAAAGTCCAATTAATAAGTTTCTTTTAGAACAATAATCATTTAAATCTCTCATGTATTTTTCAAGCTATGAAATTTTGAACACAAACACCGTTTTAAAGTTCTGTCCACGGATCACAGAAAAAATTAACTGTTCTTTCAGCAAAACGAAAAACATTTGACATACATCCCTATGTGAATTGTCTTCGTTTTGCTGAAAGAACACTTACCTTTGTTGTGATCCGTGGACAGAACTTTAAAATGGTGTTTGTGTTTAAAATTTCATAACTTGTAAAGTACATGAGTGATTTGAATGATTCTTGTACTGAAAGAAAGCTTATTAATTGGGCTTTCACATCCTAGATTTTGAAAGTGCTACATGCAGAACTTCATTAAAACAATGGATAAACATTTTGGTTTCCTTTTTTTTTTTTTTGACTCACCCTGTACATCACACTGCTTTCTGACTGGGACTGTAGAATTTCTGTTTTTGACTTGGTGACATCTGTGTTGCTGACAGGGTTGCCAGCGTAACGTGGAGGATTGGCAGCGGATCATCCAGGTCCGCTCGCTGGTCATCAACCCTCAGGACGACCTCCGGACCTGGCTCAAGTATGCCAGCCTCTGCCGCAAGACTGGACGCATGGTACGTACCATCAACAAAAACTCGTCTGGTCAGTGCTGTGTGACCGGTCAATTCTTTTTTCAATTCCTCTGCACTGCTAAGTAGGCCGTCAGCCTCGGTCCAAAATTTTGGCCACCGGTTTCAAATGAGGGGAATAATCGTCGTAGCGTTTTTTGGCAAGGTATACACCTCCAGAGTTGGAAAATATGTGATAGCATTGCATTGGTGGCAGCTTTTTAGGTGTTATCACCCATTTTTACAAAATGTCCATCAAAACGCTTGTTACCACTCTAGGGGCGGTATACCTTGCGCATGTGCACTATAATCATTTATGCCCTGATTTGATACTGACCAAACCCCAGGCTGATGGCCTAAAGTCTGACCGGTTGACTTCTGTCATTGAATACTTTTTTAGCAGGTTCTGATTGTATGACGTCAAAGTACCACGTGACCGTTCGGTTACCCCGTGATCAGCCACCAAGGCAGTAGGCAAACATTTGGTTAGCAACCACTCCATGCGTTGTAAACTAGACATTTAAGCTTATACTTTCCACGTAAAATAACTGCAAATTCTTTATCAAGTGGCATAAAGGGTTACCTTCCTTCCTTCCCTGAAAGTGCAGACTCATATGTATGAGGATAAACGCACTTGCCAGAAAGACCAGGACGTACCCCTTCTCTTAGCGATAAGTGTTACTGGGTTCTTTTACGTGAATTATACAACACACGGGACCTGCGGCTTTTCGTCCCATCCGAAGGACGAAGCAATAATGGTTAAGTGCCTTGCTTAAGGGCACAAGTGTCCACCCGGCGGGCTCGAACCCACGCCACTGTACATGTTGCCTCTGAAACACCAGAGCATGAGTACGGTGCTCTTAACCGCTAGGCCATGACACTCCACTCCCCCTGTGCCGTGTACGGTTGTTGTTCTTTGCTCCATGTTTGAGTATGCAGTCGTTCGGTGGCTAAATCTGGACTGTTCAATTCTAAATTGTCCTATTGGCCTGGTTTTCTCTGAGCTATTGTGCCAAAGGTTACGGATTACTCATTGCCACAAATTTGACTTCAAGTGAAAAGTGTTTTGATTTCTGTTCTTTGTGTGCAGCAACTCTCCCACAAGACCCTGGTGATGTTGTTGGGCGTGGACCCTAAGAGCATCCAGGACACGCCATTTGAGGCCCTGGCGACTGTCAAGCACCCTCGGGTGGTCTTTGCCTACCTGAAGCACATGTGGAAAGAGGACAAACAGGTTCGTGAAGAAAAAAAAGGAACACAAACTTATTTCTGAAAAAAAACATGTACATATGCTGATGGAAATGGTTTGAATCTGAGGATTACATTTAGTATTCATATTGTTCAAAAATTTCCCAAGATCATAACATTTCCAAAATGGGAAAATTTCCCATACACAAAAATTCCTCAGGACTGGAAAACTCCCAAGGTTGAATACATGTATGTATATTTTACAAGATCAAAAAAGTTTCAAAATCAAAAAATTCCAGATTGAAACAATAAAAAAAAACAAGATTCAAAAAAATATCCCAAGATCATAAAAAAGTTAAGAAGACAACAACAAATTCCCAAGTTCAAAAAAGTTTACAAGATTTGAAAAAAGAAATCCTTTAGATTGAAAAAAAGGCCCAAGATTGAAGACAATTCCCAACATCAATGTTATACAATGTAGGACATATAAATAATAATTATGATTAATTTATATTGAATCAAATTAGGTTTTTGCCCTTCACCGACGTATAAACACTGTATACTCTGTGTGTTACCTCCCGAGTGAAAGTTGGAATACATCACTCGGGTGGGACTCGGGCCCACGACCTCCTGCTTTCTAATGCAGACGTCTTACCACTCGACCACCAAGCTAACGGGATCGGTTGGATCGGTCGTGGGTTCGAGTCCCACCCGAGTGATTTTTGTCCAACTTTTCACTCGGGAGGTAACACACAGAGTATACAGTGTATATACGTCGGTGAAGGGCAAAAACCTAATTTGATTTACATCAGTCGGACGCAAAATTCCATCTTATGAATAATTGATATTGATTGTCTTTCATTATCAGACGCAGGCTTTTGAGCAGCTGGGCCACTTTGTGCATTCCACCTTGACCCAGCATATGTCATCAGGGATGGGGTCAACAGAAGAGACTGAACGCAGGGAGCTACACAAACTCATGGCAAGGTAGGACAACACCAGGGGTGGCGGGGGAGGGGGAGGGGGGGGGTCTGTGAGCCGAGCGCGGTGTGTGTGCCTCTTCCACTCTTGAAAAGGGGTGTGCAAATTTGTGAAAATAAGAAATATCTGTTTTGAAAATGTCCCTAACTCTGTTCTGTATGGTGCCCTTCCCCCTATCTCCACCACCATCAGACAGCGTCGCCTTCTGCTAGCTGGTCACGTTTATCGACATAATGAGCCAGTTAGTCAAGTTCTACCCTGGAATCCTGAAACCTCTCGATGAAAAGGTCGTCCCAACTTGACCCTGAAAACATCCATCGAGCTAGAAACTGGTCTGAGCGGTCCATCTCTTTCCAACACTATGCTCGACAGGGACAGTTGGGCCCAACTCATCAAGTCATCATGAAAATGATTGATTGAATGAATGAAGAAGAAGAACATTTCATTCATGATGATTTTTTTCTTACATACGCCATCATTATGCAGTTATAATATGTTATTAGCTCTCAAAGCTGGTACTCTGCTCTGTTTTCTGCGCAGGTGCTACTTGAAGCTGGGTGAGTGGCAGCAGAGTCTGGAGGGCACCAGCCAGCACACCATTGAGGATAGTCTGGTCTACTTCAGCAAGGCCACTGAGCATGACAGGGACTGGTATAAGGTATGGGACATGGGTCTGGAACCTGACCGCTTCTTTTAAATACAGCAAAGTGCCTACTCTCAAACAAAATTTGGAAAACTTCCTGCCACAAGACAGTGTCTGTACAAGTTTGTCAGCCTCGACTCCATGGGCGCGTGGGCGTTCCTTCACTCACCCCTGGCCGTGCTGTACACGTAAACGATGCTGAATGGTTATTCAGAGTGTACTGCGCGCGCATTTCGAAGATTGCATGCCTGGCGCGCCCATAATGTGCTCGTGTGCTTTGCATGTCACGTCACGTACGAAATGTTTTTGTTATTCAAAAGTCGCGATGCCTGTACGATATGGATTATGGCAGCCTCATTTTTCGCTAAAAAACCCCTATATCTTCAGTTGTAAAGGGATGAAAGGGGTACGTACATTTAATGCAAATCTTTGCTAAATAACGCAACGTCCAAACCTCATGTTTGAAAGGATTGGTTCTTCAAAATCACATCATTAAACATTTTAAAGATGGCGTCGGCACGTAAAACGGATAAACTGCAGCCTAATTATAATGTGCCATATTTTAACTCATTCAAATTACACAATTCCAGGGGTTGAGATCGCGCAAGGCATGATGGGGAAACAACATGGCGCAGCAAGATCTCGTACCCATGGGAACGAGGTTGCAAGTTTCTATACTTTTATTAGGCAGTTTTTCTTTTTTTTCAACTGTTTGACATCATGAACTTGAGACTGAACTTTGAGATCTGCTCCCACAAAACCTGGACGAAGTTACAGATGTTATTTTTTTTACACAAAGTGTAAGTTTGGGGTGGAACTCAAACTTTAAATGCCTTTTTTTTCTTCAATATTTCACTTTTTTGGACATGTCATAAATGCAAACTTTAAACAGCAATAACTTGTCAACGGAATGTCTGATTGAAGTGCAGCAAACAGTATTGAAAGAAGAATGTTATTCTCTTTCCTAATACCTGCAAACCCTCATTTCGACCTCTACCCAGTTCCGTCCCATTTTGCCAGAATGCCTCACATATAAGCTGTTCTCAATTCATCATTTTGTTTTTCTACCAGGCATGGCATTCCTGGGCCTTCATGAACTACGAGGCCTGCCTGTACTACAAGCTGCAGTCGGCCACGTCCACCTTGCCCTTACCCCCGCCCCCGGCCACCAGCACGCCCAAGGGCAAGGCGGAGGAAGGCGGGGCCGAGGATGTGGTAGAGCGAGGGGAGGGGCTTGAGGAGACCAAGGAGGAGGAGGTCGTGGAGGAACCGGACACGGAGCCGATTGAGGATAGCGGTACCGAGCAGCAGCTGGTGTCGTCTCAGATGGTGAGGGAGTGGTTTTGTCTTGCTTGTGGGTTTGTGCGGCAACATTAGGGGGCACTGTTGCCCGCTTACGAGAACCGGTTGGGCACTTTAGACAATGAGTCACATAAGGTGTTTTGGTAAGCACATGTGTTAAATATGGGATCTGTGCACAAATAACCACGGGGAGAAAATGCAAAGCAGAAGGTTCAAAACCTAACCCGTTGAAGTTTCAGCTCAGTGGATATTACACTTTCTGAGAAAACAGTGAAAAAGCATGCACAACTTTTTGGTCGCAAAACACGATTTGTCTATAAAACTCTTTATTTCCAAAAATCAGTCAACTGACTGATCGTTGGAAATCACCTACATTTCTTGATTTCTTCTAAGTGACAGCAAGCCAGACGGAATAACTCCACGGGATGTTTAGTACCAGTACGATCTTTAAGTCCGAGTAAGCTTTTCGATAATGTTTCTGTATGTATTGGGATAAATGCAAATGATCCCATGCGGCTTTAACTCATGTGATAGGACACGGTGCAAGTTTCTTGAGGTCACAGATTCGGTATTCGTTATCGTTTGGACACCTCTATTTTTTACAAGTTCCATTCAAAACTGACTTTTGCAGATGACTGTCCAGTACCAAAGTGACTTTTGCAGGCTAAAGCAGTCTTTTTTCTTCAGATTAACTCATGTTTGTTGTAATTTTGAAACGCACTTTCAAAGAAAATGTGACTTTTCTACCTTTTTTGGCAAACAGAGATGTGAGACGTGCGCGTTGTAGTTTTCACAACACGCATGAAGCGGTACGTTCCGTGCTTGAAAGCCCAAAGCCGACTGGCTGCTAAAAACAATTAAAAATATGTGGGGTTTTTTCCAGCTAATCAGCATCGAGCTTTCAATGTGTTCGCCACTGTAGCTGTCTTGGGTTTTTGAGCGTGTTTTCTGGTTGTCGTTGTCATCTTTTACCCCGTAATTTCCCTCATAAATCAAAGCCCTGCCCTCTTTCCACAAAATTAAACCTGCTGATATTCAAGAAGGTGTCGTTACCAGCTGTTCAGATGTGTCAAGAAATATCAGAATGTCACTTTTGAGTGTCATTTAGTCGGCTGTTTTGATGAGTCTAAATCTTATAAAATAGGAACGGGGTCCTAAAGATAACAATTAGCACAGATTCGAATCCCGCTGTGTTTATTATAATTTTTATTGGAGTGCTGTGGCCTCGTGGTTAAGGGCACTGGATTCGTGGTCTGTGGGTAAAGCTGCGGGTTGTGGGTTTGAGTCCAGCCGGGGTCATGGTGCATGTGCCCTTGGGCAAGGCACTTTGTCACTCATTGCTTCTCTCCACCCAGGAGTAAATGGGTACCTGTGAGGGTAGAGATGGTTATTGTGATTGAATAAGCTTGCTTGCGCCTAACAGGCAGCATCCAGCTGTATACTCCCCAGGGAGCTGAGATGGTATTTGGAATGTTTAATTGGCCCAATGATCAGGGGTAATAATAATACTGTAAGCGCTGTGATTTAGTTTACTAAATAAGAGCGTTCTTAAATGCCGATTATTACTACTATTACTGTAATAGGGCGACAGGTTATGCGAACTCCGTCCACAATAGGGCGATACACCTTATTGAGGCGACAAAATGACTGTCGCCCTTTTATAAAAACGACCCTTAGGACAAGGAATTTTGCTGTCGCTAACCATCTAGATCGATTCCTCATGGTCCAATTAGTATAAATACTAAATTTCGTGGAAAAAACATAAGGTAAACTTGGGTTAGGTGACAGTTTAGGTTTGTGCACAAGTCTATGGGAAAGTCACCCTATTGGGGCGAAAAGAGTAATTATTATTATTATTATTATTATTATTTCATCAGGCCATCCAGAATTACATCCAGAAGTATGCGGTGCCGGCCGTGCAGGGCTTCTTCCGTTCCATCGCGCTGTCCCGCGGCAACTCCCTGCAGGATACGCTGCGTCTCCTGACGCTGTGGTTTGACTACGGCCAGTGCAGCGAGGTGTACGACGCCCTGGTGGAAGGCATCAAGTCCATCCAGATTGACACCTGGCTGCAGGTAAGTGCAAACTTTGCCTCGAAAAAACTTTTAGCAATGAGGGTAAGATTCGTCAGGATTATTCCAGATTTCATGATTTTTTGGTTGTTTTTTTTGTTGTGATTTCAGGATTTTGAAAGGATCTCTTTTGAAATCTGGAATCGCTGAGGTCCTACCGTAAAGGCATTTTTACTTATGAACATGTATATTGAACAAACAATTGGGTGTTGTGAGCGATGCCTTAACCCTAACAATCCCCATCCAGACAAACTCCAACACCAGGGTTTGTTGGAATCTGTTGGAGTGAGTGCTGCACTAGTAAACTGATTATGCTTGACGTGGGTTAGGCATACCACCATAATCAGAACCCAACAGTTTGGGTGTAGAGTTTACCATATGGTGTTGGAATTTGCAGGAGTGAGGAAGGTTCCTATAATAAATCACTCTAGGGGGTTAGGGTAAAATGCAACTACACATACGGGATTAAGAATTTATTAATTTTTTTAGAGTTCTTTCACGTAACCTTTTATGGTGTATTTGTTGTCAATTCACCCATGTTTAGCAGGCACTGGCTTATTTTCTGAGGTATCTGTGCAGCAGATGACCTGTAGCAGGTACCGCATCCAATGTTGTCGCGATCAATTATTTTTTTCCGTGTCCTGCCATCTTTATCACGTCCCCCAAAAACGAATGAGTTCCAATTCCTTTTGGCACGGAGCCAGGCTGACGGTCTTCCGTGGCAACATTCATGTGTATATTAACCACTTCCTTCCGATCCTCGCCTTCGACTTATCCAGGTTAATCCCCGACCTCCTTCCCAAAATACTTTTGTTAATCCTCAAGTGAGATCCTTATAGGCTATCTACATTAAGCATCCTTTGCTAGCTAGGGTAGTGGTAGTCTTATTCGCGTACTTCGCAAGACAACCCTGGCAAATTCCAAATCTTATTGTGACACTCATCACGAGCAATTCAGATTTTCCGAGTAAGGTCTTCCGACCCACTGAATATTCATGATTCTGGAACTACAAGGTCAACGATACCTGGTACTTGACTGATGCCCTCCCAAATCCTCCCTTGGCTTTACCAGGAGGCCTGAGGAGAGTGTTTTCTTTTTTAGTCATCTTGAAGAGTTTTATCCTTTTTTTTCTGGATTTACATACATGTCATGTGTAGTTTGGGTTTTAGTACCGGTATATGGCTTGGGTGTATAGTCTGTAGTTCTGTGGTACAGTTACGATTTTGAAAATTATTTTCAAGAAACTGAGTGAATGGAGACATCTTTTGAGAGCATCCCGTTCCAGGATGCCAGGTAATTTTTTTTTGGTCAGCCTCCATTCTTGTGTTAATTGCCCAAATCTTGTGAAGATGTATGCGACGCATGTGTCTTGTCAACCCAATTATTCTGATTACATGTGTCGTCATCACAGAGTCTCACTGGAGCAATCTCAACTAACCAACAGGATGTAAAGTAATTTCTACAAATCAAAAACAAAATTGTTAGGCCTACCGCTTCCCCTCAATTACAAATTGCAAAACCATATCTCGGAAAGTACATCCCTAGAAATTAGTCATGTCTCCAATGCATTTCCTGGGCGGTTACAATGCCCCACTTTTTTTTTTACTGGTTATTTCTTTGAGAATTGTTGATTTCTATCAGATTTTTTTTTATTTCTTTAACTGAAAGTAATTCCTAACCCTACTCCCTAGGCCTTTTTGCTCGGATGTAGCCTCAATTCTGCAAAATCCTCCAATTGGTCTCGTGGAAAATAGCATATAGCCTCAATCCTGCAAATTCCTCCATTATTTCTTGAAAATGGTCCGTGGAGGGATGACCACTGCCTGAATCCTGGAAAATCCTGTGGCAGTGACTGTCAATATGTTGAGGCTTGGCCAGTGACATCACAAGGTCCGGCCAAAGACCTTGCTAGGCAAATATCCACCCACAGGCAATTAGGCTACCTTTGTCCCAGTGCCTAAAATTGAAAACTTGGTCCCATGGTTAATATTACCTCTATCAGAAAATTACTCAAGAATTATCAGATTTGGACGTTTGATTCTCATTTTAAAGTGGAAAGGCGTATCTTTCAAACCATACTTATGGTATATTATTTATGTTGGTTACACATTCTACGTCTGGCATTTGGTTATATTTCGTTTGCAATTATTTTGATACACACTGTACATGTACCACCCCACATCCCTTCCCACATTCATATCCATCTCTCCTGTTCTGTTAGCTTGTCATAAGTTCGTTCACTTAATACTTCCCAACTCATAAATTACACTGGATGACATCACTTCACCAGAACTTTGGCATCCCCCATCAGAAAGGTCTCTCTCGTTTCCCAAAAGACCTCTGATTCTCCTGAATAGCCATGACCTCATTACTTTCATCATCTCTGTAATTCATGACCAACTTTTTGACAATTCCATTTTTCTCTTTTTTACAAAGGACACCTGTATGCACTACTAGCTTGCGGTTATCATATTTCACTTCCCTTTGCACACACGCAATTGTATATTTCTTTGCATTCCTCTGTCCCTGTGGATTGTCAATGGGACTGACTTTCATTATTTGTCATCGTATTGACTGGCCCAAAACCAAGTCATGACAGATTGTGTGATGTCACTTCACCATATGACATATTTCAAAGGGTTTTTTTGGTAGGGAACCCAACCAAAGTTGAACCCAACAGGGGTGCATGTACACACGTACATATGTAACAGCAGGTGCTATGTACAGGGTGGTCCAAAAAATAAAATGGAACAGCATACTTCCACTACCTTGAGACTCAAACCACCTGTACCGATGGATAAAGAATCCTTTTAGAAGAATTATGACAGCAAAATCTCACGATTTGGTCCAGTAGTTTTTGCTGCAAAGCCTATTTTGTGAAGCACACTTCTTTTATGTGGGTATTATTACATAACAGTCCCTCAATCACAAATGCCAAATTCCCGGCGCGGTTTAGTAATTCATCAGGACAAAAATGACCCCCGACTTGCTTCACAAAATAGGCTCTAGAATAAAAACTATTGGACCGAATCGAGCGATCTTGGTTTCATTTTTCTTCTACAAAGATTCTCCATGCATTGGTATATGGTTTGAGTGGCAGGGTGGTGGAAGTATGCCACTCCGTTGTTTTTGGACCACCCTGTATATATATCAGGCATGCAACTTTTCCTCGGATCAGCTGATTTCCTCTTTTTTCACTTCCAATGTGTGCCATTGAAAATAGAAAAACACTGTACAAAGTCTTGGAAAAATTTGAATTTCCTCTTTTTTTGTGACTTCCCAGTTGCATGCCTGATATATGACCACCGTGACATGTCATTGGTCATGTTCATGTCACCTTTAGACCAGAAGTACAAATATCCAATTTTTCTGACAAAATAGGGCGGAAATGTTTCCCTCCTTAATGACCACACATTTCTTGACGCACAATTCTGTATGCCCATAGCCAGCGTTGTATTCCAGTCCCTGCAAGTCCATCACATTCACAAGTCCATCACTAGTCCTTCAGTCTCAAGTCAAGTCACTAGTTATTCAAATGAACTGTGACAAAAGCATTCCTTTGTCATCGTTCATCCAGTAACTGGATTAGCAAAAAAGGCAAATGGTCTCCTTGAGTCTGCCACAGTGCGGTCGTAATCCATCAAGAGAAGACAGTGCAGAAAATGTGGGAGGAAAAACCCTAGACAGTATAAAGGCAGGTTCATGCGAGAGCAATGAAAATTTGACGTCACGAAGCATTCGCTGTGAAATTCGCCGGAGTTGAAGTGTGTTCAACTTTTGCGAATTCACAGAGCAAAAACTTGCCCTGACGTCACAAATTCGCATTCGCAGGCACCGAGTATGAACCCGGCCTTAATTCTCAGGAAAAAAACCCCGCTGGGATTCGAACCAGTGTCACCAGGCGGATATGGAAGGCATGGGTTACATGTATGTATGTATGTATGTACCGTAATTTTCGGAATATAAGCCGCGCGGCGTATAAGCCGCAGCACGCAAAAATCTGCAAATTAAGATTTGAAGTCGGCGTATAAGCCGCACCGGCGTATAAGCCGCACCAACCGCAGCAGTTCAATTTTGTAAGGCCTCCAAATTCTAGTCAAAATGCTCTGAACCAGTTCCATTTGCACTACGAAAGCTATAAAAGGGCCACAAATGTTATGTCAAATCATTTACAGTCGATTACTCTTACAAACAAATATGGAAATTGATGATAAGAAATAAAAAACGGGAATTGCTGCCGGCTGGCTAGTCAGTGAGCCTGTGCCGGCGAATGACATTATTTTCCCCCAGCACTTGAGAGAGTATGCAACCCACCATGTGTTGTCTGACTGGAGCGCTACAAATCCTGCTTTGTGGCAACAGCCCCTGAGTTGTTTTGTCCTAAAGGATAAACAAGTCCGTTTTTACAGCAAAACTTATCAAATTGTTGTGATTACTAACAAGTAGTAACGTCAAAACTTCAAGTTTGGATCGTAACTTTCTTCGAAAACAATCAACACGATGCTGAGATTTTTATGGACGAATCCATTAATTTTGTAGGGGTGGTTTCACCCCTGTTTTGAGTTTTACATCGTTTTTTGAATACATTTCAAGAAAAAAAAATATATTGTGACGTTGAACAACTGATTATCAAATAAAGATATGTTTCAAACTCCATAAAAAGTATTAGTTGTCTTTTTCCTTTTTTTAAACTGGGGAAATATTGGTAATTATTGTTCCCAAGAAAGTGCACCCCTTTATTACCACAAATGGTGTGGTCCATGGGGAATCCCTGCAGCATGCATGCAGCATACATGTAGGCAGCATCACGTACGGCCGGTTGTCGATGTCCAAGGGACAGCTTTCACTAGCCGTACTTTTTACCGCTCGGTACCTTTTTGTGGGATGTGCTTTCGGTTTGTTAATGACTTTCTTAATTGATAATTATTTCAGCAACACATCTCTTCTTGTACCAGTACATTAAATACACATGTAAATGTCATTTTTATTCTTCAAGTCTCGGCGTATAAGCCGCCCTGTGTATAAGCCGCAGTAAACATTTTCATGGGCAAATTCAACGTATAAGCCGCGGCTTATATTCCGAAAATTACGGTATGTATAATGGTGCGCCAGCCGGAAAGTCTCACAAAAACGGTTTTAATCCGAAGGAAAATCCCCTTGATTCCATAGGGGCTGATAAACTCAATTCACATGAAAATAAGCTGGGATTCGAACCAGGGTTACCAGATATAGAAGGCCAGGATTACATGGACCCTGTACCGGTACAATGGCGCTCCAACCTGAATGTCGCACAAAAAGGGTTTCAATGTGAAGGAAAAGCCACCGTGATTCCATAGGGACTGACAAACTCAATTCTCATGAAAATAAGCTGGGATTCGAACCAGGGTCACCAGATATGGAAGGCCAGGATTACATGTACATGTATGTATAATGTGCTGCAACCTGAATGTCTCACAAAAAGGGTTTCAATGAGAAGGAAAAGCCACCGTGATTCCATAGGCATAGCTGCCAATAGCCCGACTGCGTCTGGCCGTACAGTACTATCGCAAGCTCTGTAGTACGGCCAGACGCCCGATGCTTCCACAGAGACTGAATTTTGTTGGCCGCCGATGTAGCGAATTTGCTACATCTTTCGATCGCGATTATCTTTTCATCCAGGATACAAATTTCCAAAGTTAAGGTTTGTAGTCGTAGAGCAACTCATACCTTTTCGAAAAAACGTTCTTTGGTCTCAATATTTTCATCCATCTGGCCACAAGACGAATTTCAGTCATCAGATTCCACAAATATCGTCCCCCATGCGATCCCCCATGCGATTTCAAAATGGCGGCCGCGCTGTAATGTATGCAATATGCAGGCGCGCCCGCGCAAACTCTTGAATATGCATAATTAGTCTGTGACGTATGACCGTACGGCCCCGCTGCACGCACGTCCAAAAACACGAGGTCATACGTCACAGACTAATTATGCATATTCATGAGCTTGCGCGGGCGCGCCTGCATATTGCATACATTACAGCGCGGCCGCCATTTTGAAATCGCATGGGGGATCGCATGGGGGACGATATTTGTGGAATCTGATGACTGAAATTCGTCTTGTGGCCAGATGGATGAAAATATTGAAACCAAAGAACGTTTTTTTTTCGAAAAGGTATGAGTTGCTCTACGACTACAAACCTTAACTTTGGAAATTTGTATCCTGGATGAAAAGATAATCGCGATCGAAAGATGTAGCAAAATCGCTACATCGGCGGCCAACAAAATTCAGTCTCTGTGGAAGCATCGGGCGTCTGGCCGTACTACAGAGCTTGCGATAGTACTGTACGGCCAGACGCAGTCGGGCTAAGCTGCCAACATTTCAAAATCCCAATTAGTAATCAACCCGCGCGGTCATTTTCAACTGCTCGTTTTATCAAAAGCTTTACCAACATCGAGTACAGGTACATGGTTTACATGTACACATACATGTGCATACCCTTCTTCTTGTGAATAATAATGTAATGTAGGCCAAAAGATAATTAAAAAAAAAAAAATTTAAAACTTTTTTTTTTTTTTTTTTTTAATTAATTTTTTTTTAATGTCTGTATTTGTTTGTTGGAGTCAAATAAATAATAACAATAATGAAATATGCGCATATTTTTTTGGAGATGCATGCTATCGATGTGGAGTTTCGAGTTCGTATCAATGTTTTTACACACAATGATTTAGGGCCACCGTCATGACCGTATGCAATAGAAATATCCCGCCAACATACCTTGCAAACGCATGCTGATTTATCTTTTCTGGACGTTGTGACAAACTCAAACTGTAATACCAATTATTCCAACCATACTCTTATTAATTCCATGATTAAATTGTCGCACTGATGGGTCTCAACCCGGCAAAAAGCGACCAAATGTGCTCACGATCGTCACTGAAAAGTACTCACATACAGTACACACAACCACACATCCACGAGATGCACACAAATGACACACCATTGAAAAATTGTTTTAGTCTGGTCCTCAAGTACTCCACTGCGCACACTGCATTGATGTCTATCAGGTGCTTGACTGCATTCTTATTAGACTTGTCACCAGTCCATCCATTATCGCGACATTTCGCCAGAAGTTTTCGGTCAAAAACGATACTTTACAAGTATTTTTTTTTTCATTAGGTAGAAAATGGGAAATTCGTAATGTTTTAGTGGCAAATCGTATTTTCGTAATTTAACAAACAATTCGTAATAATTACGAAAAATTAGTAACAGTTGGCAGCTATGCATAGGGACTGACAAACTCAATTCTCATGAAAATAAGCCGGGATTCGAACCAGGGTCACCAGATATGGAAGGCCAGGAATGTTCACTGTGTGCCAGCCTGCTGACTGCCCCCAAGTACCGCACCAGCGTTGTAAATTACTTTCATTTTAAAGGGAATGTACATCATTGGCTTTTGCTGTAATTTTCAGAAATTAACTATTTCAGGGGTTGGTATAATAGATCAAATACTGTTACAATGACATGTTTGAAGGTTTGTGTTCGAAAATGCTGGAAAAACCAAGAAAAACAAAAATGTTCAAGTAGTCTGGTTCCTTGACTCTAAAGATAAAATGGATCAATTTATAGATGCCTGAAAATTGTAAGGTAAGGGAACCAGTCTAGCTGGCTGGCACCCGTTCATGAACATGTAACCAATAGCAAACAAAATTTGGACTGAAACAAGGGTAAAGTTGGAGCAGTAGTTGAAAAATAGTTAGGTTTTTCCAACGGTGGTCGGCCGACCACCGTTGGAAATGTATACAAAAATATAATTTTCTTGAAAATGACTTCACACCAGGTGCCATAATTTTATAAGATTCTTTAGACTGTTATTTACCAACATCCCAGTAAGGTAATTCGTAAAACTTGGTAGTTTTATTTTTCGATGTTTGCAAATGTTGTATATTCCCTTTAAGCTTCAATTCAGTCAAGCTGCTGCCGTTTGATGATTCATCATCTCTGTTTGGGAACATTCGACGCTGAAATATATGGCACCATTCTTCAAGCAGGTGTTATATTCATTGCAGTGCTTACTAAGCTCATGATACTGTATTGTGTAGGTTATTAGTTGACCTTACACACATTGGTTTGCAACATTTCACTGATGCCCGGGCGGTCATGGTGTCAACGTTTGCCGTACCAGCGTTGTAAATTACTATCATTTTAAACTTCAATTCAGTCAAGCTGCTGCCGTTTGGTGATCCATCATCCCTGTTTGGGAACATTCGACGTTGAAATATATGGCACCATTCTTCAAGCAGGTGTTATATTCAGTGCAGTGCTAACTGAGCTCACGATACTGTATTGTGTAGGTTATTAGTTGACCTTACACACATTGGTTTGTAACCTTTCCCTGATGCCCGGCGGTCATGGTGTCAACGTTTACCTGTACAGTAAATCATTTGCTGGGTTTGGCATGAAAAGCAGCTGAAAATCCATCACATTCATACATGTACATGTACGTGTACGTGTACGTGTACGTGTACATGTACCTGTAGCTGCTACGGTAGTGTCATCAGTTTATACGATAAATTATTATTTAAGTTTGCTGGTTTCAACCTCTCGCATTCATAAGGGCTCCGTGCGCAAACAAGAGAGGGCCCTTTCACTTCGAGAGCCCCGTGGACGGGACACACTGTGTGAGCACATACTTTTGTTTTACTATACCCCCAAGGACAATGCTTTGTGTTTCCCTCTGTCCCTGTAATATAACACTCTCCCATAGACTAAGCACACAAACCTACTACAGAGGATGTTTTTAGTTTGGGCCTCGTCTCTGGGTACAGAATCAAGAAGCCTTTTACTTTTTGGGCACGTACGGTCTAGCGTTAGGGCACATGATTCGTGATCGTGAGATTGTGGGTTCGAGCCCCGCCGTGGCCATGCGTGTTGTGCCCTTGCGTAAGGTGCTTGACCTCAATTACCCCTCTCAAGCCAGGTGTTAAATGGGTACTGGCATTATTCAATGCTGGCAAGGTAGCGTACAGACTCGCTGTGGAGGAGGTGTGGTGATCCCCCCACATCAGCATTTCATGGACTCGAGTCTGGCCCAATCGCTTCAAAAGAGAGATGGGCACTCCGTTCCTGTGAACACAGGTTGGAAGGTTCATCCCTCTTTACCTTTACCTTCTACTTTTTATGTCCAAATGAAAAGTCTCAGAAACCTTAGCCTCATTTTATAGGAATATAATGAATGTTCCTGTATAGTGAGGTGGAGTCCACATCTAAGGCAGAATCCTGAAATCTCTTGAAGCCAAACCTGGGGGTAAGGGCTGTGCCGAGTATTCGAATATTCAAATATTCGATCGATAATCGAATATTCAAATATTTATTTTTCGATTTGAATAATTATTTTGGGAAAAAAAGTCAATTTTTTTTAATTACAAAATTGCATTCTGAAAGCTTATTTTAAAGTGTTACTAGACACTTAAAGGCAGCTGATGCATGTGTTTATGCCCAACAATAAAATCCATCCAAGATTTTTCAACAAATTAACGTCACGAATGCCACAATGAGAACAGTCAAAGGCCGTTGTATTGTTTGTATAAATTTATCTAAAAAAATGTTTATTTCAAGCCCAGGTGATTCAAACATTCAACAGGATTGAAATAAACCTGATAAAAGATAATAGATAATAAAACACAATTTTTGCTATTTTTTGATATACAGTATGTAAAAATGTCAATTGATACATAAATTATTCTTTCAAAGCTAATGGAAAAGAAAGATTATTTGTCCAATTTCCTCCTGTCCAAAAAATACTTCCAGTCTACTTGTAGGCTAATTCAACTGATTCTAGCTTTAAGCGATTCCAGCTTTGCTTAGTAAGAACAGAACTTGCGTAGTTACGGTACCGTATTATGGCTTTTTTGCTGAACTCTTTTTTAAACGCACAAAGCATGCAAAGAGAAAGGGTCTGTTTCATAATCATAAGCTCTCTAACCACAGCAGTGTTCAAAACGAACCACCGTGTTGTTTCTTTCAAAGCTTTAATGTCCCACAGTTAGACTTAAGTAAACGTAGGTGTTTTCAAGCTTAAACCTCATATACAGGTCCTTAAATTCCTGTTAACCCTCCAGCTATCTGAACAGTCACAGACAGTCAAAAACTAAGTCCTCTTCCCCTGCCATGCCTTTTACACAGGCTAGTCACCAACAGTCAGATCATATTTCAAGCAAGCACTGTGACTAGTCAAATTCAGTCAACAGACAAAAACAGGCAAGTGGTAGACACAGCTGCCTTATCAATCACCTACAGGTACAGTCGAAGCATAGCTGTATCAAGTTACTGTACATAAACAGTCCTAGCTAGCCGATCCTGCTTTATGTAGGCTGGGAGCTCTTAACTGTTGAAAACAGTCACATGTTTGATTTTGACTGAAAGGACAACGTTGGCACAGAATATGTGTTTGCATAGGAGGGTTAATTAATGTTCCCTTAACCCTAGCTGAACTCAACCCATCAAAGCCATGCAACAGCAGGTTTGTTGAAATCTGTTGGGATGGGTACAGTACCCCTAAACTGATGGTCTTTTACACTGGGTTTGGCATACCTCCAGAAACTTAGTCCAACAATGTGTGTGTGCGATTTCCCATGTGGGTGTTGGAATTTGCCTGAATGGGTATGGTTCCTAGTAAATTATGCTAGGGAGTTAGGGTTAAGTAGACAAATTCCATCATAAGTGTTATACCTTAGGAAAACAAGGTAGATTAAGGAGACATTCACTGTCTCCCTAATGTCACAACTCCTATTTAGAGGCAATATTTTACCGTCGCAAATAGGCTAGATCAACTGCTCATGGTCCCAAACAAAAATATACCCAACATTTGTGGGAGTAGGATAAGGGAAAATTGGGATGGAGGTCATTAAAATTGGGAAAAAAATGTGTGCACAATTAAGTCTATGGCAATGTCTCTAAGGCAACATTTCCTATTGTAATAATATTCCTATTCATTACGTTGGGCACTTCACAGCTTACTGATTTAACTTAAAATAATAATAAAATATACAATTTCAGTTTTTCTAAGCAATTATTAAGAATACTAGAAAAGTTAACTTAAACTTATCAATAAAAGAAATACAATTTTGATCAAAGGTAATGTACATCAAATTTCTGCAGCAATTGTTTCTTTAAAACAACATCAAACATTACATTTTTTAAAACCTCTTGCGAAACAGAAATTGTATGTATACATGCATATAAGTTAAATTTACACTTTAACGTACATTTTCAAAAGCTCACGTTATTAAACTAGCAATTTGTTATTCTGGTCTCATGACCCTAAAAGATGTTTGTACAAACAAAATTCAAAGAAGCACCCTGTTAGCCCTGCTTATCACAGGTGATGAGTGTCATGAGGTCACATTTAGACACAAAAACTTTTCTGTGATGTCACAATTCATGATAACTTTAAGACAAATCCTCCAAGTTCGTTCATTTAGGAGAGAGAATGCAAAATAAAGGGCCCATGAAATGCATTTTTCTGAGGAACATATTTTGTGCAACTTTCTACTCCTCTGAAATTTATAAAAACTCTTTGACATCCCTTTTTGGTTTATTTTGTTGAAAAGTGCACTTCTTTAAACATTTTGAAAACAATTCTGTGCTTTTCCTGTCAACTGAGGGCGCTGTTCATGTGATGTCATTTCAGGAAGACATTGTTCGGTTAAGGGCTTTTCTGTTCAAATATTGACCCAAAAATTTGCTCATTGAAAACATTTGTGAGTAAAGGTTGGTCATTGGCTTACTGTCTTGTACTGAAACAGGTCACTTTAGACCGACTTTCACCTGCTTCGCATCCGTGAAGCCTTGAGTTTTGAATTCATTCCTGCATTGCCTGGGGAGTAAACCTACCATCCCGGCCAAAATGGTTGGGGCATGTCCACACTATGAGCATACCCTCCCCAGTCCCCCGCTCCCCCGTGCAATGAGACACAACATTGGACGGGGGCCGGACGGTGGGGGCCCAGCAAGTTTTGGCCGGGATTGTAGAACGGAGTGGCATCTCCAACAGGAGAGGGGTGGAATGGTAATATCGTTCAAACCCACTGAGCTGTTATGGCTTCGAAAAGACTTTCATAACTTTCATAAACAGTTTTAGCTGACAAAATTTAAAGATACATACATGTAGGATCATTTGCTTTCTGTACTTTTTGTTTGTTTTTGGAAGCAACAAAATGGCTACAAATCTTTAGTAGGGTGCATAGCAACTAACCTGTGAAAGTGTTAGCACAGTGGCCACTAAACGTTTTGAGAAAACAGACAATTTGTTAGTCTCGTAACTGGATTTGTTAGTCTCGTAACTGGATTCCAGTGCTAATACACGTAAAAATGTGTGCCCAAAAACAACGTCGGTTGATGTTTTTTTCTCCGAACGATACAATTTCAGACATAATAATTTAACAGGGCATTATGGTGCCATCTCTATCTTCAATTTGAGCAAGGTTATCAAAGTTATAACCAATGTTCCTAAGTGTCTTTAAACTGAAATTAAAGCAACACTGTAAAAGTTAGCTGCAGATGGTTTCTAACTATGGCAGTTCAAATAACATATAGCCTGAGAATGTTGTGTAGCGGTTTGAGTTGCTGTGGACCTCGTTGCCTTGGTCAAGCTGCAGCCAGACCCGGTCGTCTTGCTCCATCTGAATGATCAAGCTGTTGCTGGCGGAGTCGTAAGCGTCGCTTGCGTCGTAGTCGTGCACCGACAGCAGCATCTCGTTGTTGTGCATCAGCTTGACGTAGGGGCTGTTGGTGGTGGAAGCCATGTGGACGTTGACCAGGAACATGTAGGCGCCGCGCGCGGGTGCCGTGTAGACCCCCGTGCCGGGGTCCAGGTGCCTGCCGATGTTGCTGAAGACGTGCTCGTACGGGATGACGACATCATGGTGCTTGGGCGCGACGATTGTGGTCATCCGGGCCGCGGAGAAGGCAGAAACGATCTTGGGAGGAGGTTCCGCGCTAGACGGCGGCGGCATTAGCAGGTTGGCTTCCAGCTCGGCAGGAGAACCTCTCTCCCCAGACCTCCCTTTTAAACCGGTGTATTCAGGACCGGACTCTCCCCGGCTGCCCTGAGGTCCCGTCTCCCCACGTTGCCCAGCATCGCCCTTTTGTCCCGGACTCCCCGGTACCCCGTTCATGCCATGGTTGCCAGGGATACCCGGCATGCCGGCTGACCCTGGGGTTCCGGGGGGTCCCGGGGGGCCAGGGGGGCCCTGCATGCAACAGGAACCGCAGTGTCCTTCGGGGCTGGCAGTGGGCGCCTCATCTGGGTTGATCAGCTTTGACATCGAAGATCGAGTCGGGTTGCGAGCCGAGACGACTCCATGTACCACGATCAAGAAGATAACAATACGTGTAATCTCCATTTCAAAGTCTCAGTTTGTTCAAGTTTGGTACAACAACAACAAAAACAAAATCCTCCGAAGTTTGCAGTGAATGTCAAGAAGTACTGTGCTGATATTTGGAGTGGGCTCTCAGGGATCGTTGAGCAACTTGCAGTTGGTAGCTTGGAAACTAGAAGTAGCTGTCTTGTGTTCGACCTACTTGGTGTGTTTTATCGCCGAGTGTTATGAACTCCTGTATGGGGACCACTTCACAAAGTCCAAGATTGGAACTCTGGGGAGGTTGCGCTCTTCAGTAGTCCATCAGTCGTATCGATGGGCCTAACAATTTGATCCTTGACCAGTTGTCCTTGGCTGTTGCACGTCCAGCTGTGAAGCAGATCACTCAAGTACTTGGCACTCTGTAGAAATGTCAGAAACAAACAAAGAAACAAAACATTTAGTAAAAAGCTATGAAATCATGATCAACTTGTTGGGGGAAAAAAGTATGCACATGAACATTGTTTCTGCTTACATGTATTTCATGAAATTGGCCCCGAAATGTAATGTATGTGCACATAAATGTCATCATCTGCATGTATACCTGTGGAAGTGCATGTAGAATGGTTTCTTTAACACTGATTGAAGTTTAGGATATTGTGTTCAGCTTTTATTTCTTACATGCATACTGTTTGTTTCCAAAGCATGCACTTTATTGTGGTTTCTTCCACTGTGAATGAAGTTCAGGATATCCTGTTTAACATGTATTGCATTACTCTTTCAAAAGTATGAAAGAACTCTTGAAAATGGGAGCGCCCTACCGGAGCCCTTTTTTTTTTCACCCCGAGTAATTGAACTGAATGATTCGGGCCCCCTAGAGGCAACAATGCCTGCCACTTATTCTTGCCTGGTCTGTCGTATTGTTGGCCATTGTCAGGACGTAACAATGCAAGTGGCCTTCGGGTGTAATGGGGATGGTCTTTTTTTTTTCTCTTCAACCAGTGCATTTTGGACGAACATTGAAGTTGCAAGGAAACATCAGAAATGCTGGCAGTGTTTTGTCCTACAAAAAGGCTCTCAACAGACCCACTTTTTCCCCAAATCGTAGCTGGCTGTGCTTTTTTCTTGTCTTCTTTCCCTGTTTTCATTCTTTGTTAAAGCGCCTTGTATCGTTTGGCACTCTGTAAATCCATTTATTATTATTATAAAAAAACAAGTTTTGAGTTGAGGGAAGGGCTTTCTACATTCTCTCTACAAGAATTGAAGATTTATGGCTGAATTTTGAGGTCTGATTAAGCCCTATTTAATACTCTTTGGGCATTTTTGCTGCATTTTTGCTGCTAGAGCCTTCCAGTGAATTCTCAAAACTCCTCCATTGTTGGTGAACCCAATGGCAACTTTTTGTACATTGAAAGTTTTGAAAGGTTGGCCCCTTGTGAAGTAACATACCAACAGAAATAGGGGCAGCTCCAGCATGATGAAAGGAAGTTCGTGACACAACAATGATATCTAATTAGTGATTCAGAATTGCGAAAGACGTGGCTATAACGTGGTCGAGCAGCACGCATGTATACTTTTGTTTTGTAAATGTGTCTTTGCCAGCCAGCCACATCGACCCCTATACATGTATGACCACGGAGCGCAGCCAGAGATCAAAAGTGTTTGATTTTTTTGGAGGGAGGAAAACCGGAGGGCCCGGAGAAAAATCCTTGTGGCACAGGAGAGAACCAACGCACGAATCTACTCACATGTGGTCCTAGCTGGGAACGAACCAGGGCCACAAGAGGTGAGAGGCGAGCGCTTTACACACTTGCCACCCATGTCACCCACTAATTGATTTGAGACTGGATGAACTTGTGATTGAGATGCATAAATTTTATGACTTTATGAATTACTTTGGTTAAAATTGAACCGCTTGCACGTACATACAAGCAACCGCAAGTCAAAGAACATTGGAACAAAATTGACATTGGCTGGCAGAATTCTGCAATTCCCCCCTGAACATCCAGAACTTTCTCAAAAGTGCCCGGAAACAGACAGACAACTTCCTTGTTTAGGCCAAAAAAAATAAATATTCGGTCTCTGGTCAGACCAAAGTTCCGGAATTGACGCGGCCACGCAGCTTTTTTTTTTTTTTTCCGCTGGTTTTTTTTTTCTTCAAGCTTGGATTGTACAGACAAGGTGGGGTACTATTTTGCTTTTTTGGTGTCCTCATGTACATTGGTGTCCTCCATAATTTTCCTTGGTGCTTTTGATCATTTGCCTTGGAGCAATTTCACATTCCTTGGTGCTCTTTGGTAAAAAAAAATTGAGGAGGTGCGGAAATAGAGGGCGCTGTTGGAGCTACCGCGGAACATTTTGGAGGAAAAAAAGATCGACGCGCATGATTAAAATCGACGCGCGCGCTGACCACAGACTGACTTATTTTTTTTTGGGCCTTACTGAAACATATTTTTTAAAATACACGTACGCAGAAGAATCAATCTTTTCGGTTGAGCAAGCACAGGAATTTTGCCCCACCTTCCTGCACGTAGACCCACAACAGCACTCACTGTTGAAGGAGGAATTATATTTTGGACAGTTTTTAGCCTAGGGTTCTTTAACGATGAATGATCACTGTCAGAGGTGAGCCGATACTGGGTCAAATGTTGGACAAAGTGCAGGAAGTTCACATGCGCGATTCAAAGGATAGCACTTTGAAAAATTGGACTATTGCAGTGACGCAGTGTAATTTTACATCACAAATCACATTAATACAATTCCGAGTATTGTCCAATAGTCATTTTCTTTCCATTCTGTGGCGTCACAAGCTGGGCCGATTATTGCAATTTCATGGAATGATTAATATTACATGTAGTCACATTACAAAAGGCACAATAGCTTACAAAGTGACATTTCTTTCCTTCACTGGCATGGTCTGACATATTTTTTTTAATTTTTTTTACAATTTTTCATTTTTTTCCTAAATCCACAAAAATTTGCTAAAAACCTGTCTACATTGATACAGGAATGTACATGTATCGACCCTTGACATCTGCATTGATAACTGTGACGAGGACATGATTTGTGAATGTGCACATTATTACCAGGAACACCGAGTTAAAATTGATCAAAAGCGGATACATTTTCCCATGCCTTACAAATGTACATTTCAGTGCCTGGCCACTGGCCAGCACCAAAAAAAACCCCCATAAATTAAAGGGAATGTACATGTACAACACTTGCTTTTGCTGCAATTTTCAGAAATAAATGGATTTGGAGGATTAGTATGTTATAGCAAATATTGTTAAACTGACTGGCTTCACGTTTTGGGTTCGGAGATGCTGGGAAATCCAAGAAAACCAACCATGTTCTTGTAGTCTGGTTCCCTAGACCCCACTTAAGATGAAACGGAGCAATTTATAGACTTTGTGGAATTGTAAGGTCAGAGAATCAGTCTAGCAGGCTTGTACCCCTTCACAGGTGTGTAATCAATTGCAAAGAAAATGCAGAAGAACTAAATGTGAAAAATTAGGAGCAGTTTTTAAAAGAGCCAGTTTTCTCCAACGCTGGTCAGCCGACCAGCGTTGGAAAATACAAGTTTTCACACCAGGAGCCACGATTTTACAGGATACTTTAGACTGTCATTCCCTAACAATCCAGTAAGATATTTCGAGATAATTTGATCATTTTTGTTTTTCGATGTTTGCAAATGTTGTATCTTCCCTTTAAACCATACCTGGAAAAAAAAAATCTCCAATTTAGGTTCTTATCTGGGGCCTTTCTTATATTAGAATCACCAATCAAACGCTGCCGACATACTGCGCTGCGTTTGATGTGTCAGTTCAAGTAACACTCTGACACTCATGAGCGACAGTTAAGAGACAGTTTCTTTGTTATTTGGACAAGTTCATTCGCATGCACACGTACGCAACTTCATTCAAGCAAGTCCATGAAGCAAAAATATTGGCACTTTTTATACCCAATTTGAAGTGGACAAACTGTGTTACACCGTGTAGGCAGTAGTGTTAACGCAAACTACCTTGGAATGTGCAAAATGCAGCACTTTCTTTTGCGGTATTTGTTCGATTCAAGACTGCATTGAGCTGTTACTTCTTGAAATGGGGCGTGAGGTGTTCCAATTTTGTTCTAGGTAGGAAGAATTGGGTTGTGTCTGAGTAATTGTTTCCTATCTATAGATAAGTCTTAGACAATAATAGACACAACAGCCATATCAGACAGAGCCTCAAGGTCTTTCCACACCATCCTCCTGCCTACCTTAGTTGAAATCACCATGGGTCCACTGCCTGTGAGCGGAGCCATGTCTAATCAAACACCAGGAGTGCATTCCTGTTGTTTCCAGAACTATGGCTATGACACAATAGCCGTAGTTTTGAAACCCATATCAGACAGGGCCTCAAGGTCTTTCCACACCATCCTCCTGCCTACCTTAGTTGAAATCACCATGGGTCCACTGCCTGTGAGCGGAGCCATGTCTAATCAAACACCAGGAGTGCATTCCTGTTGTTTCCAGAACTATGGCTATGACTCAATAGCCATAGTTTTGAAACCCATATCAGACAGAGCCTCAAGGTCTTTCCACACCATCCTCCTGCCTTTAGTTGAAATCACCATGGGTCCACTGCCTGTGAGCGGAGCCATGTCTAATCAAACACCAGGAGTGTGTTCCTGTTGTTTCCAGAACTATGGCTATGACTCAATAGCCATAGTTTTGAAACCCATATCAGACAGAGCCTCAAGGTCTTTCCACACCATTCTCCTGCCTACCCTCGCTGAAATCAACATGGGTCCACTGCCTGTGAGCGGAGCCATGTCTAGTAATCAAACACCAGTTGACAAAGCATACAGTTCACACAAAACAGTTTGAACACAGACAGATCTCACTGCAGATTTTGGATTTTCTGCCAAAGTAGAGCCCCCTTTCCTCCCAACCCTGGTTCTACCTGTAACAAACCCCTGGTTCAAACTGAGGTGAACTTCAACCTGGTTCTACTTCTAACTAGTCCTTGTTCTAACCTGGGCTGAAATGTCTCCTTGTTCAGCGCTTGACCCATGTTTGGATCCTTTGAGAGTGCAAGGGCTCCCCCTCCCCCTCCCCCAAACCACCCTTTGTCTGTGCCTCATACCCTGAAACAATTATTTTCATCAATCATTGAGCTTGTTCTGTCATTGCCAAAGACAGCGCCTTTTTGGGTGGTCTCGTAAAAAGCTACCATCTGAATTTTACTGGTGACAATTACAACTTCGCTTGGCGGTTAAGAAAACAAACTGAGACCCTTCCATCATGGTGAGAGACTCTTAAGAGTCTGCAAATTGAATTAAGCTTGATATTTTTCCAGCAGCATTTTTCGAATCACAGAAAAATTAAAGCTGAGATGCTACTGCTGTTCAGCTGTAGTTCTTGATTATTGAATAATAATAG